TTTTCATTCTGTATCAGGAAGCTGAACTTCCGGAACGATGGTTTGGGTGGAGGAGGACTCGTGTTATTAAGAATCGAAGGCATTGTTGGGACCGCGATGGCAAAGTTCTGCTCTGGTGCTCCACCGGGCTCGCAGCATGGCATGGATTATTTTGCCCCATTCGACTACCCAAGATCGCGCACGATATATACATTGACGAGAGCAGAGAGGAGGAGAACGATGGAGGACATTATCGGCGACGTGCGTACTGTTTTCCTCGCTCACTCAGTTTGTTTTCATGTCAGCTCATCCAGGTCGTGTGGGCCGGCAATGGAAGCGACAAACTCGACGGGGAGATCTTCGAAATCTTCGGTGGAATGAAAATATACGATCACGAGCGCACAGCACAGGGCGCAGGGCCACCGCGCGACTTTGCTTTTGTCATGGTATCCGCACAGAACTGGCGCGGCTATGTGACGGCTTCTTTTGTCCCACTAGTAACCCTTTGGAGTCCTCAGTGATTCCCCTCGCTCGTGATACTACAAACAGCGTGGACAAGAGCTGTTCTGGTCGGTCCTCAGATGCACGATGATGAGTGGGAGGCCCCGTCAGCAGGTCCTGGTCCTAAGGATGAAAGAATGAAAACATTCTTGGATGATGCGCGCAAAACACACGGCCTAAATCTGTGCTGTACATCTCCTTCGGGTGCGTCATGGTCACTCGCTCATTTCAAAATGGTGAACTGAATTTCCCTCAGTTCGTTTTTCTTCCCCGCACAGACACCTCAGCTGCTTGAGGCGTTGGTTGACGTGCTGCTCAATCTCGATACCGTCATCCCCTTCGTATTTGTCCTGGGGTCGGCGATGGCTTCTCTGCCGGAGTAACCATCGATCGCATTCACGCCAGCGGCCGAGGACTTGTATGCGCTCATTGGGTCGATCAGAAAGCCGTCTTGAAGGGTGGTGCAATCGGCTGGTTTTTGACTCATGGCGGCTACAAGTCAGTTCAGCTCGCCCTGAAAACCTAACGTGAATGTTGTTGAATCATTGCAGCTCGTTGACTGAGGGGCTGAGCCAAGGAATTCCGCTTATTTTCTGGCCCATTGGAGCAGACCAAGCTCTCAATGCCGCTGTTTATACGACGGGTCCCTGTCCCGTCGGAATCGAGCTATTTCAGGTATTTCAACCACACTATGATTGCTTCCCCGGTAATTCACGATACAAAGATCCGATCTGGAACTCAACTAGGCCCTTCGCTTCGTCCTGAAGCACCCAAGATCACAGGAACAGTTGAAGACGCGAAGACCGAGTTCGAGCAGGCATTCAGGGATCTCAAAGGACCCAGAGGCGAACTCCTTAGACAAAACGCCACCCGCATTGCAGAGCTTTGGCGCGAGGAGAGAGTCAACGGGGAACCCGTAAAGGAGATCGCGAGGCTGACGAGATTCTGAAATAGATCTAGACTGACCATTAGACACCGAATTAGTGTAGAGACCCGTAGATCCTGTTCATACCAATCGATGCCGATTGGTCTCTTTCTCTTTAGCTTCACAGATAAGCAGTATACACAGAGACAACAACAATAAGCACAACAACAAAATGCGATATTATGCTACAGATGCACTGGTGCTACACCTTCACCAACTTGATGAAAGGAACCTACCGACCGCGCGTCCGACTTCAGGGGCATGTGTCCATGTCAATGAGTGGGTAGCGCCCTCGATATGGATAACTTGGACTTGAGGCTTCCTCTGCAATGGTAAAACCGAATCAGTAACTAGACTTCATTGCAGACAGAAGCCACGCACAGTAGCGGAAGCAGTCTCGATGTGCTCTCGAATGCGCGTGGCGTGCGCCGCGGGTACCGTATCATCCGCCGTACCCTACTCATCTCAGAGATCTGGAAACTGTTTCGGAGGAAAACGACGCACATGGACCAGCAGGACGCGTTTCCCGGCCCACTCCGGGCTCTGGTACGCCCACTCCAAGCCGACAACTGGGCCTGAGCGCAATGAGGAGGAAACGGCCCAATTGAAGCCAGCGAGGTGCGCAGATTGCAGCCGGACCAACGCGTGGATCGGTGCAGGATCCAAGGCCGATACTGGGGGACGCCGAGAAGAGGATGGGTCCTGTGACTCGATGCCGTCCCAGTCTGCCGTGCGCTGGGCAGCAAGCCGCCGAAGGTAGGAGTATATCAGCGGGTTCGCAGCGAGCGTCTGAACAAGCGGGGAGGACATGAATTTCGAGGTGCGTGACAGATCGGAGGACTACGTGCACACGTCAGAGGCAGCGAGACGTTATCGGGCGGGGACGCGTCACGTACCTGGAGGATACCCGCAGCCGCGATGAGGACGACGTCCCGTTCCACAAGCGCCGGAAACATATCGACAAACGCAGCGGCGATCGCCCCGCCCATGCTGATCCCAGCGATCCGCGTCTTCGTCCACCCGACGTGCTGCAGAAGCAGCGCGAGCTGCGTCACGTACAGCTGCGTGTCGTAGTCGATACCGCGCGGCGCGTCCGAGTATCCCCGTCCGTAGAGGTCGTATAGCAGGATGCGGTGCCTCGGCGCTGCTGAGAGCAGGTGGGGGAGGAATGGCGACCAGATCAGGGCCGGGACGGAGAGGCCATGGATGAGGACAAGCTGAAAACACAAGTGAGTAGGTGAAGAGTGGGAGAGGTTTGCAAATCACCTTTTTGCCGTTCTTGGGACCCACAAACCAATACCGCGTCTACGGAGGCACCACTGTCCATCAGTGACTAGATCTCGCCGAGGGAGTAGCACAGCCCACCCGTCCGAGGGGCAAATCCGCCCAACCACCCTCCTCGAGCCAGTCCTCAGTGTATATTCTCCTGGCGCGCGTATCGACAGCGAGACTGCTCAGCCCCGGATGGACCGCGGGCCGCCGGGACGGGGCGTCGGGAACGAGGTGAGGAGATAGAGCGAGACGATGAGGGGCGGAACGAGGAGGAGGAGGTAGGTCAGAAGCGGGTTGTCCTGACGCGCATCGTGCTGCGTGCCACTCGTTTGGTGAAGACACAAAGCGATGCGCACAGTTCACACGCGTTTTCGGGATGTGTGTGTGACTTTGTTTCGACAGGCGGCAGTGCAGCAGATGATTGGATCAGATCGCCCATCTTATCTTTGATAGAGTGAGCGACGAAGACACGCCATTTGTGGTTCGCACTGCAAGTATCAGAGAAAGGATTGCGCTTCCAGATATCATCAATTCTCTTGATCTCATCTAAACCTGAGGGATTTCATGATACCTCCGGATCCTCAGATGTTACTGTAAGATGTTTCCAGGGTCAAAAGCAATACACTAGACTCACATCCAACCCCGCTCGCCCATTGTCCTGAGTTCATTCACGGCTTCTGCCCCGCTTTTATCAAACGATGATCTGTCCGATGAGTTTAGAAGGTCGAGAGACAATGTGGACCGGTCACACGGCGTCGCCCTGAGTAAGATTATGGCCCACATGTAGTCCGGCGCGATGAACTTTGAAAGGACAATGGTGCTCTCATCCGCAGGAATGGTGCCCGGCCTAATAGTCATACTGACTGGATTGCAATCTATATGACTCGACTACAGCGGCACATGTGAGGAATTCCTACAGCGAGTCACGGGCACACCGTGGGGCCCCATCGCGCGAGTCATCCTCGAGTCGCGACAGAGTAGCTTCCCACGAGGCGGGCCGCTCGCTACATATGTCAACCCCCAAGGAGTAAGTAAAGCGGCGGGTGGCGGTGAGCAGCACGGAGAAGGGTATCCGGTCCCTCGTTCCGCACCTGCCGTTCCCGCTGGAGGTAATTTGGTGCTGCCAGCTGATGAGCCACTTCTCCGGGTCTTATCTCCCACATCCGGGTGATCGATCATGCCCGCCGGAACATCTGGTCAGCTGTCTTCCTGCCGACCCGCGGAAGTAAATCATCATATCAACTCGCGCGCCTCGAGGCTCGGCTGTAGATGGTCCGCCCACATGCCATGTTTCCCCGGTGGCGATGGAGCAAGGCGGTGTCACGGCATGCGCGCGTCGAAGGGTTCAGGGCAGAGGGCTGTACAAATATCAGCCTCGAGGTGCTGCCGACGCCGACTGTATCTTGAAGGCGAAGCTCCGGGTATCGAGTATCCGCAACCACGCGGCAGTAATCGCGCGTAGACTGCGTAAACTGTGCTGGTCGATATGTAAGAATTAATCTAGGAACTTTGGGAAAACCTATGCCCCGGAAATTTCCCGACTGTCCCAATCCAGGGCTACAACGCCATCGATTGCGAGCGAAGAATCGTGGTGGAACGATCACGGAAAGAAAGCTATCGACCGAAAAAATCAGTGGAGATCCGCAGCGGTGTTCGATTACCAGCGTGTTCAACCCCGTGAGGCGTGTGAATACAGTGCGGCTATGTGCGAGTGAGGCTGAAACTGATATTCAGAGTCATAGGCGATGCGGACGCGTGGAGCTCGGAAACAAGCCATGTTCGCGGGACACGTGGTCATCAGGTCAGAGGTGGGCTGACTCGTCACATGACTCCCGGTGGACTCACCGATCTAATGAAGCTCTCTATCGTTCGGGTGAGGCTGAGTGTCCAAGGAGTTTCATCCAAAATTATCACATTCATAGCTAACTAAAGAGTTTCCGGCACCACCGGGGCGGACAATAGAGTGTGAGTTTCAGGCTCCACATATTATTGGCATGCCTTTTTACTGAGTTTCGAGAGCATTTCATTGTCCAAAGCTTAGCGCACTGATGCGGAAGGCAACCACAACCGTCGACGTGCCCCGACAGGACCGAGTGCATTCTACTTTGAGTCTGAATAGACAACACGCGCTTGAACACACCGCAAAGGACACAAAGGAAAGCCTACAAGGGGAAAGATCCCTAAACAGCAAGGACATCCCGTCGAGTCAGATGATTAGATTAGATGCAGAACGGGATCGCAACGCGGGTAATGACCCGACCAGTAAGATGGGAACAGCCACTCTGCCTCCGCCCACGCCGAGGACATTACGGATGTCGTCCACGTCCATCGTAAACCCATCCGATGGAGTATCAGTTCCAGCAATCCAGCAGGAGGTGCAGGCCAGTTGATTGAGCAGGAGCCGATAGCTGGTGCCAACAGCTCTGATCGAGCAATTGGTCGATTAGGTAACCAATCCTGTTAAACAGAATGTTTGTTCGACGGGTCGCTTCTAAGACATAACTCGAGCGGGAACGTGGGAATCACCTGGCAGAGATGACAAGACGTTACATTGACTCTGATTGGTCGTAAGTCTATGCGCAGACGCAGGTCAATTAGCCAGGTTTGTGTATGCCCCGATTAAATCCGAATGTTCGTCTTGAATACGTTTCGGCAGAGCCCGTCATTCAGCGCTATGGCAGACAGACATCTCTTTACCGAGAAGTGGTTCTTGAGCCCGATACGGTTCGTGGATTCCTCCAAGGACGATTGTGAACGTGTGCCGAGTCCTTCACAAACCCTCAGTGCTCTGGTGCCTGATCGGTACATTCTTCGTGTGTGCCCTGACAATGCTCGGCCACAGCTCGACCGAATGTATTACTTCAACACGCCTCGTAAAATCTGGTGGAAGCAGAGCCTGGACTAGAGCGCCATGGAATCGCAGCGTCATGATCATCACGCCACGAGGCTCGCAGTCCCGATCCGGATAATAGCGTCGCACTGAGCACAGCTGCGCATTGACATCTGTCTCGGTGCCTCGTACTACCACGCACCCAACAAGGAGGCGATCGGTCTCCAACCTTCCAAGCGGTTCCCCACCGGCAGACCCTCGAATGTCACACAGCACCCCCCGACTGCACAATGAACCCCCGGATGTGTGAGTACCCGACTGAGAACAAGGTACGTTCCTTACGCGGTCTGACGTCTGACGGTGTCGTCGTGTCGGAGGAGATGAACAGCAGACTAGAAGGGACCCTTCATTGCTCGGCCAGCGGAAGGGCAGGTTGCATCGGAGCCGTCAAGTGGATGATCCGATTTGCATGCGCAGGGGCCAAGGGAACTCGGTCGACTCGGTGTTACTGGGCGGACGTCGCGTGATTTTGAAGCAGCGGAGACCCAGCTGCACATGTATCCAGGGGAATGAGCCCGCCGCTCGCGGATGGCATCCTCTGAACAGGGAAGGGGGTTGTCGAGCGGAACGCGAGAGGAGTTGTGAGTGGACAGTGATCCGGCAGCGCGTGGTCCATGGCTGTGCAGCGAGACGCGTTGTGTCGGCCAAGCAGGCAACTAGTATGTGGCGTTGGGACTGTCTTCTAGGCTGAAAAAGCGCCTGTTAGATAGCGATTGCCATCCAGCTTGCAGCCTTTCGCGGTATATGGTCAAGCAGGATTGATCTGATCGATCTGATGGCATGTGACAACACTGCCAAAGGATGATGACATTCAATTTCTAGACGTGTCCTCTCACAACTTGAACCACCATCGAACACCCTCAGCGACATCCCATCTCTCCATTGTTGGAAGTTTGGATTGGTTCCGCCAGATGCCGTCCTAGTTCTATCTGTGGGACTCGAGAACCAGAGCCGTACCTTTGCGATTTCACCCATTGTTCGTCCCGGATATCACACACAGGAGTGTTCCGAAGACTCGGGGGAATATCCGGACATGCACCGTACTTCCATCGACGGATTTTTCTATGCTACGGAGTATGCGCTGGTAGACAGTGGCTGCTATGACATATGCCGTTTCGTGCAAACAACGGTTGGAGGAGGAATTGGACCCACCCCGGAAACTATGAGCGACATCGCGGAGATCTCAGTGTCATAAAAACGTCTCTGCACTCTAGTCCCAATCTGGAACCCACGTGCGACAGTGCCTGTGCACCACCTGGGTGCATGGCAGTTTAGATTCTTTCCTTCACGGCTACGGGGTCGGTCTCTCTGAACGAGTGCGAGGAACGTATAATAAGCATCGTGCAGCTAGTGTCTCGGCCCCGGGAATAACACGCTTATCCGGGCTCCGCACTATCTGCTTTATATCTGCAACCGACACCGAGAGAAACGAGTCAGGGTCGGTGGGAGAGAAGATGAGATTGGGTGTTGGATGGAAATGATGTTCTCGATAGACTGAACAATGGCGAGCCGATGAAACCGCTGAGATGATCCACTAGTCGCGGGCTGAACTCGGTGAGAACGATCCTACCATCTTAGAAACATAATTGTATGCCGCGTCTATGATGTTTCAGCAAGCTTATTGATGGCAACTAACTTGCCACACTGAGCAAAAGTCTATCCCTCTTTTCATATCCTCCATGATTTCAAAGATACAATAGGAGAGAAATAGATGAGAGAAAACCACGACTGCGTCGCAAACAAATCGTTTCGATGAGACGCCCAGTACGCTGAACTCCATTGGTCATCCTTACTCACAGCATCAGCCCCGGAGCTACTTCGCCTGGAGGAGTTCACAAATTTCTCTCACAAGAGCCCACCATGCATGTACTAGTATACATCAGAATTCCAGTGCGCGCACAAGCGAACGAGCGCTTCGACCAGGACCTAGCCTGCGGGGGCCCGCCGCGGACCGCTCGGCGCAAGCCTAAAACGGCCGAGATCAAACATCAGTCTAGTGATTCACGGAACTCCGAGGAGAGAGTAGATGAGGCCTTAGATGAGGCCTTACACGTGTCCACTACATTCGCAAACCTAATTCCTTGTGAGATTGAAATTTGAATTTGGAACTCGGATATGTTCCCGGTTGGAAGAGAGATCAATTTTATCAGCGCTCGGAGATACAAAGAAATCTGTCGACGGAAGGTGGGCCGACGGTGGATGCCGACAACAAAGGGCTTGTTCGGCAAGCGGGATAAGCTGCGTACCGCATGACCGGCTCGCATACGCCTTATCGGGCAAGCTGAAAGTGATGGGCAGATTGATGCAGTGATGGGAGAATTCGGGGTTCTTCGCAAGTGCCCTTGGGCTGCCAGATGATGTGGTATTCCGAGCTAGCCTAGTGAGCACACTACAGAGATAGATTATTTGAAGATTTGAGATAGTGAAGGTATCTATATTGCGTGCGTAGATGGACGCACGCTCTGACTAGGTGAGCTATCCCTCACCCACGGTAGTTTCCTTTTGGGCCAAGACAAGAGCAGCTAACATGAGTGGCCAGATCTCGAGATCTACTTCGATCGGCATCATCCTTGAAAGCCTGGCCCTAACACAGTCATGCATCTATCGGTATATAATGCGTTCTCTATTGTGTCAGGAAATCCCTTCGCGTCGTGAGTGCCGTAACTGTCCTCCCTGATGCCTGCTCTCCGGTCCAGTGCACGCGCTGCCCGTAGTGTCGGTCAGTCCTCTCTCTCTCTGCTCGGGGGAGATCGTAACCAGCTGACGGAACGAATCCTGGCGCGGGACTTGATAGTGGCACCGGTACCCCGGGTTCAGTTCACCTTTCCCTCCTCGCACAATCTCAGCGATTCCCCACACGACTCGCCCTGCAGCTCTCCAGTCGAGCCTGAGCTCGGTAGCTTAAGTCGGACGAGGGCAGACTGTCGTGCGTTTCCTGATATGCGCTTTAGAGTATCTGATTGATCGTTTTGAAGGGTTAGGGTCCACCTCCTCTTCCTCTTCCTCTTCCTCTTCCTCGTCGTCAATCTCCTCTCTCGCATCCTCCTCCACTTCAACCTCTCCGCCGAGCTCGGAATTCTTATATGACGCACCGTCAACGCCAACGAAGCCGCCGCTGAGCGTGCTGACGCGGACGCTATCCCCAGTCTGTGTGACGGTCACCCCCAAAAGCACACCACCGCGCGTATCCGGTCCAGCCGCGCAGTCCTCTCCTCTTGCATCCTCTCCCCTTTCATTTTGTGACCATTCGACGTTCGATGTCTCTCCTCACGAAGAAGAACGGCGTCCCAAGCGTGGCGACGACGACTACATCAAACGCCCCGAAAACTCCTGGATGCTCTTCCGGCGCAAGACGCTCGAGAGCTACGCCGCCGACAAGGGCAAACTCCTCGCTTCGAATCCGTCGAATAAATCCTCGGGAGCAGGGGGCAGCGGTAAACCGCGCCAGGCGGACCTCTCGAAGATGATCTCGGCAAAGTGGCGCGCATTGGCCCCGGAGGAACGTGCGGAGTGGGATGAGCTGGCAAAGCAGCGGAAAAGAGAGCACGAGCTGAGGTACCCGGATTATGTCTTCCGGCCGCAGCGCGTGGCACGACCAAATTCGAATCGAGCGAGGGACGAGGGCGGCGCGAGGAGTGGTGGTGCCGGTGGGAGGAAGCAGCATCAACGAAGAGACGCGGAGAAACCCCAAGTGCTCGAGTTCGTCGTACCGTCAATATCTCCAGCCCAGGAGCAACACCAGCAGCAGCATGGTGCGCCGTATATGACGGTGGAGGTGCCGAACATCTTTGCCAGCCCCGTCCCCACGTCTCTTACCTCCGCGCCATGTTCCCCGCTCGATCTGCTCCTCGAGCCTATCACACCCCAGCAACAGCAATCGATGTCGCCTACCTCGCTTGTCCCGATGCTTGCATGCAACGCGACGCTCGCCCTACAAGATTCATGTGCGCAGTGGGACTTCCAGCCGCAGGTCGTCAGTGCCCAGTTCTCCGACAGTCTGCAAGTGCGTCCCCTATCTGTGCCATCCCTCGGGCTGTCCGCTGACATGCTGTGTCTCTCTGTGCAGTCGTCTGACTTCTTGCGCTCGATCTTCGTCAACCCCGCCCCGGAGCCTTTCGCCAGCTACGTCGAGCCTCACAATACTCTGGCCGCATGCTTCGATCCGCTGCCGTCGTCGTGCGGCGACTACACCTCTGCCTGGGAGTCGTCCTCGCCCTGGGCAGGTCAGTCCCCGTTCCCGTTCTCAACTACGCAGCCAGTGTTTGGCGCGTGCGATTTTGACCTGGACAAAGTTCCCGGTATCACTGCCGGCTGGGATTTCGCTACTGGTGCTCTCCCAGAGGGGGAGGATGGGGCGCCCGTGATGTACCCTGGGTCGGAGTATCTCTTGGACCCGTCATGAGCCGACCACCTTCTTCCTTCCATTCCCGTTCCTTATGGTCTATTTATGGTACCTCTGGATTTTTTATCTTGTATCTCAGGCCTTCCCGCTGCGACTACCCACCTACCACCCTCTATCGCTGTACTCATTGCTTTCGTTGTTGTATCCCGCATTTCAATCACCCCAATGTACACTTAAGAATCTGCGCATTGCATCCTACATAATCATTGCTATTGACTGTCCCGCTTTCTGCTATGATGCTTCGAGAAGCACTGGGTTGTGCATCCTTGACTAGAGACAAATGTGTGTGTGTCATTTCAGCGACGTATGGATCTTTCGGTGGCGCGGGGTTGGCAGTTGGTGGCGCGGCGCTGCAGCTGCATCAGAATCTCTGGTGCTGACTGTGAGGTCGCGTTGTGGGAAAGTCTCCGAACCCTGGTTTTCATCCTTCCATTCTCGCGAAAGGATCCATCAACTAGTCTGATGCGCGCCGTACCCCCGGAGCGTGTCGCTCGGGGGACTCCGAAAGGAGCGTTGCGTGGTTGGTCTGAGTCGGGATCAGAGGCGAAATTGGGGATTTCATGTCCGGTTCGCTTAGCTGGGTGCTGTTCAGGTGAGCACTGAGTAGGCAGGTCTAGGCACCTCCTCTCGTGAGTAAGTATCTGAGATCAACTGGTACCCCTGGTTCCACACCGGGGACTGAATGCATTTCTGGGTGAGCGTCAACACTCGTCGCATGGAATCCCTCTCAAATGAGCGTTGCAGCATCTTGAGTTGGATTGTGAAATGACTTGCACTAGTACCTATTGTCTCAGCAAGATGAAGTACTCCAGTCCCCTTGTCAACTGCTGTAAGCCACAGGTAAGGGCGCTTCGAAAGATTGAGAGTACTTGCGAGATGAAAGCCAGATTGTAGCATATTGGGCCTCATTGTGATAGCCTAGCAACCGAGTTTCACTTTGAACAGAGCAAGTATTGTGTGCATTGGGCAGATTGGAGGGAAGATTTCGCACCGGAGGCATTACTGATGCGATCAATATCACTTCGCTTTCTCTTCTCAGATTGTAAGTGACCCTATGCGCCGTGCACAGCTCAACCGTTGTCTTAGAGTACCATGCTTGCACACGGTGACTCTCTTATCTTTTTCATTCGGATCTGCCATCTATGCTTGACCCCGCTCTGGGATTCAGTTCCGTCTCAGTTCAATCAGGTACATCCCACGTACTACCCAAGTCTAGGCATTTCGAGCCTCTCTGAGGATTACATTCCGAAGCTTGATCGAGAAACTGTGACTTGGAATGGTATCTGACTCGTCAAAGGTATCTCCCAGTCAGGCACATCCGCGATTAGCATTCGTGAATAACTGGAAACGGATTGCTCTCATCCGGTGGCCACCCCACCCACATAAAACAGACCGCCAACTCCCGCGCCACAACTTCTACCCACTCACCGAATCACCACGTGTAGGCTGTTATTTGAGGGCGCTGGATGTGTGGGTCCGCTGTCCCGAAGGGGACACACCTTGTGTTAGGTGGTATACCTTGCCCGGGAGATGGTGCTTGATTAACCATGGGTTATCCTCAAGTGCCCTCAAGGTGTAAATTATATTGCGACGCGCTTGGACCTGATCACCGCAGAGAAACCAGGTGGCTGGGAGATCATGGTTGCTCTCGTGCGTCCCTTTTATTGTGCTACATACGCGCTCGAGTACAGTGAAGAAACCATGCTCATCGTGGAAAGACGACATCGACATTCTGTGCTTGCATGAATCTTACGGCCTCAAAATCTACATCGGCAAAGGGACTAATGCGAGCGGCGAATCCGCTGTCCGTCACCATGCAGCTCAACAGTCAGCCTCGGCGGACCAGGCAAGTGGCGTGATGACACCATGTCGATTTTTCTTCTGATTTCTCATTAGCGCTCTGCCCTGCGCGTCGGAGATATGGGCTCCTTCCCTCAACTTCATGGGTTATTGGGTGGCGGAGTCGGGAAATTCATCCGAAGGAGGACCCGGACCTCAAATCTACGGCGCGTGTTTCGGTATTTCTTCGACGACTTCCCGCTTATCGGTTTCTCATCTCTGCATATTCAGGGTTACCTGTTCCATTTATTCCATTTCCAGACTCTCGCTGGGAGACAAGCAACTTTCCTCTTTCGGCACTTTGCTTACTTACAGCATGCCATGACGTAATTCTCTTCTGATTTCTCGCCGTTTTCTCGATGTTCGTGGGCAGAGGGCATAATGGCCGATTTCTTCTTCTTCCGTTTCGTGCCGTGTGCTCTGGACCCCCGTCCCGTGACACGTGGAACGCAAAGACAAGTCAGTTATGCTTCCCATCCGAACCCACGCGGTCTGACTCAGTCGGAATCTCACCTCCAAGCCGACGCGGAAGCTCTCCCACGCACTTACTGTCCTGACCCGATATTCGTCCGCGCCTGATTCCTGACCGTTCAGACTGATTTCTGCTCCTTTGACATTTCCGGATTGGGATTGGGCGATCACGGAACGAAGCGCGCCGTTCATGACCTGCTGCTCTGACGTTGGAGGGTGTCTGGCTGCCGCTCACGGGCGCGATCCGAGGACAGCTGTGCAGATTTTAGCCACGCTCGTCGTGCGGGATGCTCCGAGCTAACGGGCGCCACCGATGATCCCATTCATTAATATGCTCAGTGCACGTCGTTCAGCGGACGACGTCGCATAGAGCTGCATCCGCTCGCTGACCATCGCGTGACCAGGCCCAGGAACTCCCGGTTGTGTCTATCGGACGGAAGTGGAGAGACTCTGAGCAGGCTTCGTCGCTGGATTCACGCCGTGCTATACGATGCTCGACTCCGGCTTCGCCTGTCACTGGCGTTGGACACGCCCCCGTATTGCACACGACGACCATCGGGGTGGAACCCGAGTCTCCACGACCCCATTATCTTTGCCGAACGACGAAGTCTAGAGAACGACGTGTTGTCTTGTCTTATCCGAATCTGGAAGACAAAAGAGAACCACGATCATGATCGAGAGAGCCTTCTTCCCTGGACCCAAATCGCAATTGTTCCTGTCCACACTTCGAGATGAATACCGGAGAATATCACACACGAGCAGCATTACGCGGATTGTAATTGGTACGTAGCGGAGGGTGTCTCGGTTTCGGTGCGTGTGCGTAATAAACGTGAAAAGCAGGCAAGTAATAACAGTATAGAACAGGTCGTGTGAGTTTCGTGGGTCCAGCTCGCAGAGGCGAGGGAGGTATCTAAAGGTGCTAAGTAGTAATAAACAACGGCAGGCGCTGGCACCAGCCGAACTGGGGCAAGGCGCTCGCGCCCAACGCGTTGCGGTGCTGGAGACAGCAGAAAACCGGGTAGATACGGTACAACAGATGTGAAAGCAAGGGATGGGTAGGGGTTGTGATTGTAGTACAATTGAGGACGGCCGATAAGTGGATAGAGATAGCTAAAAGAGTACATGCCGCCGTGTGAAGAGGAGAGAGGGGCGCTGGATCAGAGCAGAAACAAGGAGCGAATAGAGAAAAGGAGCGTGCGAAAGCAGCGCAGGAGACAGACAGACAGACAAGGAGCAGAGCAGCCAGCGCCGGTCGTCAGAGTAGAGGCGTCCCACCCGAAACCACGTCCTCGTCAAAATGATGAGAATGAGGTACTGGCAGCGACATTTCCTGGAACGGCGACCCCAGTCCAATGTCATTCCTGGTGTCTAGCAGGAAGTCCTCCCGAGAGTACAGCGGCGTGCTCTCATCCTCGGGCTGTGGCGGGGAAAGGTCCCATCCAGCACCCAGATTCGGGATCTTCTCCACGTCAAAGTCACCCAGCGCCGACCCCGCGTCAGCAATTTCGAACGTCGTCTGTCCGGCCCATGGCGACGTCGCGGCCCAATGGCTCGTGTAATCCGAATATGGCGGGGCGGATTCCTGCATCTCGTAATCTGCTGCAGAAAGCGACAGTGGAGAAGGCTCCATCGGCGCGAACATCGGCATGTGGGAGAACGTTGTCGAGGTCGGCGTGTAGGGCGACGAAGATGCCGACGAGGCGGGAGAGAAGAACGACGGATTGAGCTGCGAAGACGCAAAGATCGACCGGAGGAAGTCGGAAGACTATGGTGGGTCAGATATTTGCCAAAAGGGGGAGAATTCACGAAAACGCACATTCAGGCTATCTGCAAACTGCGAGCTCGTTGTCCCGGGCTGGTAATCCCAACCGCCACTCGGGTCATCAGGTGATATGCCCTGTCCAGCATAGGTCGTGTTTTGCGAGATCATCGGTAGGAGCGACGTAGGTGATGCGGACACAGAATCGAGCATATGCGCTGGTAACTGTAGCGAGGACGAGGATCCCGGCCCAAATGGCGTATTGAAGAACACATTCGGCACCTCCAGCGCTTGATAAGGAGGCATACTCGCACTCCTTGGGTGCAGCATGGACGCTGGCACGGAAGGAACAACAAACTCGAGCTGTACCTCCCCGTTGCCTTGAGCAGCCGGCGCGGAAGACTTCCTCTTCCTCCTCCCAGCAGGAGCGAAATCGGCAGCATCGTCATCAGCAGCGAAGCTCCTCCCACGCGATGGAGGAGCAGGGCTCGAGTCCCGCGGGCGGTTGCGGTTGCTCGCGCGCTGGGGGCGATAAACGTAGTTGGGATACAACGCCTCGTGTTCGCGTTTCTTCTCCTTCGCTAGGTCCTCCCACTTCGCCCGCTCCTCCACCGACAGTGCCCGCCACTTGGCTGAGATCGTCTTGGAGAGGTCTGCCTGACGGGGGCGTTTGCCTGTCCCAGGGACGGGGGTGGCGGCGGATTCAGGCTCGGCGGCGATGGGGAGCGCGGGGTCGCCGAGGGTACGGTCTTCACAGCACTTGCGACGGAAAAGAATGAAAGCGTTTTCTGGCCGCTTGACGTAGTCCTCGTCGCCTCGTTTCGGCCGCCGATCTTCATTCGCCGCTGCGCTCGAGGTAGACTTGCGCCGCACAGGTGACGGCGTGGCAGAGTCCGAGAGGGCGATGGAGGGTGGGGAGAATGGGGACAAGGTACGCGTGAAGGCGCTGAGAGGTAGCGGTGCGGGTGGGGGTGGTGTGCGGCATTCCGTGGACGAGACGGAGGAGGAGGGAGAGTGCAAGGTCGTTGACCCTAACCCAGGCAATGACAGTCAGCGATCGTGCCATTTGGGGAATGCCGCAGACGCTGGGACTCGAAAGATGGCAACTCACCAAAAGAAGAGGATTCCGAAGAGAGCGCGAGTTTCCTGAGATCGGGCTCGAATGGAGAGCTGGAGGGTGACGCATACGGGGAGTCGGAAAGGTTATGAAGCGCGGGGAATGTGAGCGTTCGGGGTGTCGGGGAGATAATGGAGAGAACTGGGAGTCTGGTGGCCACTTCCAGTCCTGAATAGCTCCTTCAGTCTGCGGCACACGGGAGGAGAAGTGCCCGGACGTACCACGGGAGGATGGGTGTGTCTCTCGGGTGCGCACGGCAGGCATCGCAAAGGTGGATAATAACAAACGGAAGAATTAGGTCGCACTAGGCAGGATGAATAGCGTACAGCAGGAAAAACGAGCGGGAGCTGGTGGCAAAAGTGGGAAACAAAAGGAAGGCGGTCTTGTGCTTCCCGGCTCACCCAACGCTCTTTTCTCTGCTGTCTCGTCTCGATATGCGCTCGGTCGACCAGAACAATTAACACAATAGTCCTCTCCCGTTATATACCCAGTCCTTTGTTACGCCTAAACGGGACGACTAACGATCGGCCAGATGATTATAGATCTCAGATCCTTGCCGTTTACAGCTGATTTGTCCTTGTTGATGTCCAAAAGCACTCGCGGTCCGGAACTCTGATTCGGCGGCTGCACCCCATTTCTCGTCTCTGCGTCGCGCGAACTAGTTCGAATGGCATCGGATTCCAGGTTCCATTCTCGGCTGGCACTAATCTCTCCATAATGACCCTCGCCGTGCTCAAATACGGTCTGAGAGTGGCGGAGGGCGCATCACGTCGACATCACCTTTGAGACTACCCGATTTGGTGCTGGAGACCCAGCCATATGGGACAACCTTCTTGGGCCATCCCCATTTCGTGTGCACGATCGGCGTCGTTCCCAGGCCTTTTCCGTCGATCGTGTCACCGACTTCGCACAGTCAAGTGGTGACTCGAGGCTGGTGCGAGCGCTCCCATGGCGAAGCGCGCTGGCTAGCCAGTGGGACGCACACCCGCCTTTCCGATATCTCCCGGAGAGACCAGTCATGCTCCGCCCTCACTCGGGCACGAGTAACATTAAATTTGGAAGCACGCATGACGCTTTCGTTGTCCGTGGCTTTGATTATCTGGCCCTGATAGCTGTGATTACGGCGAGAACACAAGCGTAGTCTGACCCTCGCTTACAGCTTTGGATGCACAAACCTGTGTTGATGGTTCGTCCCACGTTTGCGTGTCTCGGGAACCCGCAGCGCATCATCGGACATATCTCGCCCATCATTCAGTCGGCATGAGGTCCAGCTCGCGTAGTTAATATCGATTAGGCGCGCATACACTACACCTTCGTGATATCTCCTTTACTGCCTTTTGCGTACTGCATGTGTTTGAGCGGGACATCTTATCAACCAGTTACTTCCGCGGACCCAAAACATCTGCTCCACAGCTGAAGATAACGTGGAGCAGCAGGAGATTATCGATTATCGCTCGCGCCCTGAGGCGGTGGGTTCCATCGGCCACCGTGCCCTCGCTTCAAATGTGGCTCGCAGGTGCTGACATCAGGGCCGACCCTGAAAACACCTCGCCGGGCACGGGGCTCGACGTTTGGGGCAAGGTAACCGGGGAGTTAGGATAATGCGCAAATGAAGTCTCTCATCGTGTAGGTGTTTGCCCCGGTTGTCGAGAAACTCTTCGCTGGCTGCTCCGCTGGCTGCGATCAGCAAGACAGCATGATGATTAATGACAGCCGCCAACCGGTGATCAAGGGTTAGTCGCCGGATCGTCGATGACGAAGAGCAGAAAGCGCGCTACTCCCAGATTGTCGTGCACCCACAACTGTGCGGAACAAAATAGACATCTACTCTCCTGCAATTTATCATGCATTTCGCCTGGGTACCTGGACAACACACACCAGCTGCTCGATTATCAAGAGCGCCGTCCAGATCAATCCTCGATCTTCCAGGAAGGAAGTTCTACACATTTTCAGACATTCAAAAACATTTCTTACTCTCAGGGGAGTACCGCCTCTGTCAGCTTCTTTCGTGACTTTCAAGCGCATACAGAAAACTGGCTCTAACTGATAGTACATACAACAGATGGTCAGAGCCTAGGGGCCAAGTCAGTGAGTTGAGACATCGCGATCGCAATGAATCTGTCTCCGTGGCACGGGGATCGGTGCTTGATTGTTTCCCTTCGGGAAACCATTATGGGTCCCGGCAAACCCCGGTGACAAAGCGATGTGGGTCCACAGTACAATTAGCTGTCATCCTTCATTGCTTGATTCTCTGCCTGTCTTTCACTCCTTCGAAAGACTGACTGATCATCGTATGTTGCATGCCTCCAGTCTCGAAGTGACGCACTGCCATCTGTGTGGGAGGATCTACGTGTGTCCAGGGTCCATCAGCGGCTTGCAGGCTTCTTCCTTCTGTTGGGACAAGCCGCTGTCAGCGTCAAGGCTGGATACGGAACGTACCTTGTTCTTGGTGGGAGACGGAGCAGAAAACGAACATGTGGCTCTTATTGTGCTTGCTGGGAATGTTGAATGCTGACGCTCGCACCACACATGCGCAGCGGGGACCCTGTGGGAAATTATGTACGTTTCTGTGCGTCAGCAATCTTAAGAGAAGGACGAGTTGGTGAGGCGAGAGCCATTGTCCCGATTGGGATTGCGAGCCTCGTGGTCTGATGGTGATGCGGTAGTGCTTCCCATGCCATCTCCTGGACGAAAAATGCTCCCCGAATCGAACTTTCGATGAAAACCCCCGATCTTCTTGACATTGGCGCGGCTGCAGCTCGGCAGGTCCCCGAGACTGTCAAAGCGTCATTAGGCGCGTGAATCTCGTGTCTCCGATAGGTGCATGTCTCCCCCAGCGATCTGATCCAGCCTTTTTCTCTCAGTCCACAGAGAACCTTCTGACTACCAGTTGGAAGGGAGTAGTGGAAGTGATGTTTGGCGGGTTGAGTAAGAATTGGGGCGCCGTCTCTTCCGGCGGATGGGAATATTATACTTTTAAAAAAGAGGCGGAGGCCACGACAGGCGCGAGGTCCTCCGCCAGGAGGCATTGCCCGCGTTTCCGCTTCAAACAGAAATATCATTACGTGAGCAAGCGGCTGGTTTCCTTCCCGCCCATTCTGGAAGTGTTCGGGAACGCACGGCACGTAAATCAATCACTGGAGGTGCAACGCCTGTCAGTCGTCGCTTGTGTGGGGGGCAGCCCCGAGACGCTGTTGGTTCATCCTCACCGCACATGATGCTTACTCCATCCGAGGTGTGTCTCGATGGGCGACTAGTTCGTCCGCGTAGTCCACGGCGCAGAGGGGGTCAAAGCGGCCATAAATTCCGTCTGCACGCAAAATGACTCGCGCCCAGCCTAGACTCATTATCTAGATAGGAGCTGACTCGACGTACCTTTCCTATTGTAGCCTGTCTCGTTGTAGGCTTTCCTTTGTCCCAGACGCAATGCTGTCATGGCGGGTGCGGTGTTTGTTGTTACTCACAGACCACCCATTGAACTTACTTGATTGGGTGCATTTTGTATCGGTTCATACCCTGAACAATGGGGTCATTGGTAAGAGTTAATGAATCTTGGACACACTGCTCAGATTTGTAGACAGTATGTCCGGCGAGTTCGGAAAAATCATAGCCTCGAGAGATGGGTTAATTCAATCATGAGCAATTGTACACGTGGTCTCCCCCAAATCGTGAGTATGTGAGCTCAAATGACAGTGAGACTCAGACTGAGAGGAAGCGCCACCAGAGGCTTTCGGCCGAGTTCCCGAATCGGAGACAGGGTCGGCATGTGATTGAACACTGCCACGCAAAACGTCAGGCCACGTGTCCATCCCTGCTTATTCTCGCTCATGGACTGCCCGCTGGGTCTCGCTCCACAGCTGCCTTTGCCGCTCGCTACGGGCAGAGTCATCTCATCTCGCTTGTCAACACCACGGCGGCATGCTCCGTCCGAGCTGGACAGGTCGACTTGACCGCTCTCTGGAATAACACAATCACGCGAACGCATAGCCTCCCTAGCCTCGCACGCATGACGAGATCCCAACCCGCATGCATGGATTTCCGACAACCCATTCATCTCCACACTCGCCTTCACGCTAACCGCTGCGGATCTCCACTCGCCGCTGTGCTATCCGGCGGGCTCGGGGCTTGTGCGAGATATCTGTCTGTTACGCGATTGATTGTCTAGGCTCTGGGACTCCTTTCATCGATGATCTGCGCGGGACGGGTTGAATAGTTGTAAAATTAATGGGTTTGCATGATCGACTTCTTAGGTTCTGGGTGTGCTCATTGACTCAAGGAGGGCGCGACTGACGAGAACGGTGTCTGGTTTCTTGTTCGTCTACCGCACCAGAATTGTAAACATCTTCCCCTCCAGGGAGATACGTCCGTTGAATATCCCATGCCGGCCGCTTTGCATTCAAGATCGGTATGGAAGACAAGTGGACAGTGCCTTGAGGCTGGTATGTGTAATTGCCCTTTGCCCTTGACCCAGACATGCGATATGCCAATAATAATTCCATGACACCGCTACACTCCGTGCCCACTCGGGGAAACATAGCATATGGCCGACGCAGCTCTAACCGAGCCTCGAGGCGCGCGAGTTGATATGATGATTTACTCCCGCGGGTCGGCGAGACGACAGCTGACCAGATGTTCCGGCGGGCATGATCGATCACCTGCATGTGGGAGATAAGACCCGGTGAATTGGCTCATCAGCTGACAGCACCGAATTACCTCCAGCGGGAACGGTAGGTGCGGAACGAGGGACCGGATACCCTTTCCGTGTTACTCACCGCCACCCGATGCTTTACTTGCTCCATGGGTGATGATGGATGAGTAGCGAGCGGCGCACCTCGTGCGAAGCTACTGAGAGTGAGTATTGCATCCGGAAGCGGGTTTAGTCGGGCTTATTCGGGCTACCCAACGCTCATGCCTACTCAGTGCCATCCGCTTTGGGACTCCCATTGTTCGAAGCGAATTGAGCCACAATCAAGTCAGAACGAGTGCGTGTGCCGGGAGATCCTGTCTATGTGTGAGAGCACAGTGCTACTTCCCATTGTCCTCTAGAAGCTCGCAGCGAACTGTAGTGTGCAGCCGGATATCAAGGGAGTGGAATCTGCTCGAGAAGGATTTCGTGGGAGGATTGCACATTGTTTCTCGACCTGGTAACTCCGTGCGGCGGCGTAGTGCTTGATGAACTCAGGGCACAAGTTGTGAGCCCGCAGAGAACAATGGGTGAAATAGTCGAGGGTTTGGATATGGGTGAGAGACCGCAATCCAATTTGCATCTTCTCATCTCGAAATTCACCTGACTATGGTCTAGATGAATACAGCTCTGCAGACTCAATAGGTGCGTTCTTGATTCTGAATCTTTGATTTGAATTAGGGAATCGGACGTGACAGTGATTCTTCATGATATATGTGTGCAGGGAACAGAATACTCGAGCTCAATAACTTGGTTCGCACTGCTGAGCAGTCAGATGAGCCCCCGGTATTGCACGCACCAAATCACAGATCACGTGCTTTCAGTCTCGCAAAGCTTTGTGCGCATTGGCAGTATGCATCACTCTACGTCAGCAACCAGTACGCACCGTTGCGCCTTGAATTGCATCGTTATCACTCTCGTCCTCTCTTCGCTGTCGCTGCTGATCTCCCTCCCGTGCCTCAACGCCTTGGCAGATCAGTCTCGTTGTCTCGGTCCGGACACTGAACAGAGAGGTTTCCTATAAGGACTCGCTTGAGTGGGTTATTCAGACAGCTGTGGTATCTAGCAGAAATACCTTATAGTTCGTCCTATCTGGGGCGATCGAACGGTCGGTAGCAATGGTAGATATTGACTTTTCGAGTCTTCAACATGAGCGTCATGGAAATATGGGCTCAAATACATTTACAAGATTCAGCATTGTCTGGGTCGACTCTGCTTCGCGACGTCTGGACAGCTTCCAGCTGTTTACGATACTCGTATACATTGACCTTTCTGGACTACTTCGAGGGACGATGCTCTCATTGATCGTACTCAGCCGCTGGATAATCCGTGTATCCGATCACGGGATCAAAGTCTCCACCGTAGATGTGTGGGCCATCCAAATCATTCGCCAATTCCTTCCCGAATTTAACGCGCTTAGCCAGATCGGGATGCGTCATCCAAAGCGTCCCGAGGAAGACCGCGGGATATTTCCCACTCGCAACCCATTCCGCCGCCTCCCCAGATGTGATTCCGCCGTTTGGGATGAGCGGTGTCGATTTGAGGAACGGCGCGTAAGTTGCAAGAACGTCGTGGTCGGTCCCCCGCTTTTCCGGATCGAAGTAGTCCGAGTAGCGCACGAGGGAGACGTATGCGAGTCCGAGGGTGTCGATCGAGGACAGCAGGTGGCCGAACGTGGCAATCGTGTCGTCCAATGGGAAGCCCATGTCGTTGTAGCCCCCAGCTAGGATGTAATGTTTTGGCGGCCAGGCTGGGTGAAGCGGAGAGAGCGAACGCACCTGGGGTGAATTTCGCTCCGACATTGGGGCCCCAGATGTCCACTAGGACCTTGAGCAGCTCAATAGCAAAGCGGGAGCGGTTTTCGGGGCTGCCGCCCCATTTGTCAGTCCGCTGATTGGATGACGCATCGAGGAATTGGTGGACGAGATAGCCGTTTGCCCCGTGGACTGTAACGCGTGACTGGCTATTCACTGCGCATAGTGGTGCAACTCACTCTCGACCCCGTCGAAGCCCGCATCTTTCGCCTTCAGGGCGCCGAGACGGAACAGTTCTATCAGCGTCGCGGGATCAGGGACTTCGGTGGGCTTGAGCGCGTGATGAGGAAGATCATCGATTGTATTGGGCTCGACCGGCGCTTACGGTCACGTATCCCGGTACACCGGGCAGAAACCGGAACTTCCCTCCGTGAGCTGCGATGGGCGATGGTCCGTACACGGGCTGCAGGAAGATCGATAATCACGAAATGTGACGAGACTTGGGGGCTAGGCTAACCTCGCCTGACGCCTTTTGGTGTCGCGTCTCAGGATGGCACACTCGACCGGCTTCATATCATCGAATCAATCTGGCGTCCTCGTCGTCACCAGTAGCACAGGAGACGCACCATGCCACAGCTGGCAATAGATCTTACCGCCCTCTGCATGCACGGCATCCACGATGTCCTTCCAGCCGGCCACTTGCTCGGCGCTCCAGATCCCCGGTGCATTTTCCCACTCCGTGCTGCGTAGTAACAGTTCATCCGCCCCACCATATGATCGAAGCACGTAGAACGCACCCTTGTCTGCTTACTAGACAACCCTCGGTCACGATGAGCCCCGCTCCGCCCCGGGCTCTCTGGACGTAGTATTCCCGCATGAGCGCGTTGGGGACCGTGTCGGAAGAGCGGTTACGTGTCAGCGCAGCCATGGCTGTGGCAATGCATGAGACTGTGAATGAATGGATGGTGGAAGCGAGTGAGCACCAAGCCGGTCGCGAATGACGTGGTCTCCGAATTTCAAAGGCGAGAAGAGGGCTGCGGTGTTGTTTCTTGCGATGGTCGTGGCCATGTTGGAGAGCTTGGATCGGTGTAGATATTGGGGAGATGTGGGATGGTGCCTTTATATGCAGAGTACCACCGATCTGGTCGGGCAACGCGCGAAGGAATGTGAAAGAACCCGTGATGAGGCTGTACGCATGTCAGCCGATACCCAAGTCAGGACCGATTCGCGCACGGTCATCGCTCTAGAACGCCGACCGCGACTGAATAATGAAATAGAATGTCATTCTGAAAGCTCATGAAAGGGAGAGCGCGTGATATACTGTAGATGGAAGGGACGAGAAGACGGAGTTCCGACACCACTGCGATCCCATCAGATGATCTCCTCGGGAATGGGGTGTGGACGCGGTGGTCCAATACGGCGTTGAGAGTCCCGTCTCCGGCCCCTCATGACCGAGCGGTAAATACCACGCTAAGCTCGAGTGGGCCCATTGATTTAAAGGCGGAGTGTATTCCCGCACGTCGAATGTCTGGTCATACATCAACCGTTCTGAGAGGGCCCCGGCTTCTCCATAGTGCATGTGATTTGATGCAGTTTAACCAGTTTATGACAGGCTGAGACTCTACCAAAGCTAGGCTCAAAAGAGGCGGCTGATATGTCGTGAGAGACCAACGGCGAAGCAAAAACGCAACATTCCTCGGGGTAGTCAGCTCCATCACTTGCGCACGGGATGCGTGTCTCACTTACCCGCGCAGGTGAACTGTGCAGGTCCGTCCACAAACCTACTTGCATCGAGTCTGTAGATCGATCAATCTCATCCTGGCCTGGGTCCTACAGCGACCTGTACGATTGGAGAGCGGAGACTTTGTGACACATGTGACACGTCACAACATCTCCGCTTTGTGCCTGGAAAAAATCCGGGGCAGATAAGCTGTCATGAAGCCAAGAGTCTGGGCGTGTAGCAAGCAAGACCTGAGATGCCTTCCAGTGACCATGAGTGGTGGTAATTGTTCGTCCAGGTATGATTCTGCGTGTATGACGTGAGGACCCTAGCTTTCCATAAGATCGCATACAACCCAGCTGACACATTCGAGAGTCATGGGCATTTTCGAGGGCCATCAATGAGCGCTTGGGGTCTATGTGGATGCAGAGATGACTAGGTAGCCATGGTGTGCCACCACTTGTGAAGGAAAGTTCCAGTGGGAAAAGGCAAATGAGATCCGGACATGGTACGCAGAGACATCAGACGTGGAGATGAAGTGCATGTGGGGAAATCATCACGTAGAGATCGAATTTGAGAGGTGAGATCGACTGTGAAGCACTGATTCGGGTCAGCATTCGGTCAAGCGTACACGCGGCGGCCCCAAACCTCAAATGCTCCAGGACAAAGAAAGTCTTGGCTTCACACGAAACGGTTAGCGCATTCTGAGCATTTGATAGCGACGAGGTCCGCTTGTGGAATGACAGGAAGCGCAGCAAAAGGACTGCAGTAGACCGCAGCGTGAGGGACGATTTTCAGCGACTGCTCGAAGCACATTCCTTGTCGCTACAGTCGTTTCGAAATAAGCCCAGAGGATGTGATGACTCCTGTGCAAACGTTACTCACTGGTCAATGCCGGCAAGAGCATGTATGCGCAGAACACCTGGTTCTTGTCAAAGTCGACCTTGAGGACAGAGAAGTGATCTATCGAATACCTGCATGACAAGCCACCTGCACGAAGGTCGTATCGCGGTATTTCCACAGCAGTGCTGGAGAGTCAGCGTTCGAGAGGCGGAGCGAAGAAAGAAGAAGACACGAGGACACGTAACTACGTACAGCAAGGATGGAGGTCAGTTGGCGTGCAGTAGATTGAGCTTCGGATGAGGGCTCTAGATCGTGTCTTCATGCTTCCTGCATTCGTCCAAGTCCAGAGCAATTTCATGCGTTTCGAGGGGCTAAGCTCGTACATACCACTCGCATTAACCAACGATTCACCATTGGCTGGAAAGCAAGTGTTTGTGTGGTTGTGTGTGGCATGATCAGCACCGGAACCGCACTGCAGCCTACCGAGAATTCTCATCTGGCCTCGAGAAAGGTCACGTTCCAGATCCAGTCAAAAGTCGTACCTGATCGAAAAGAAAAGAAACCTAGATAGGAATCCTCAATCGAACGTGCGCCCATTTCATGACTCATGATACGCATCTCAGTCGATGGTACCGCCCTTGCGCGTCACATCCACCATGTACACCTCCTTCGCGCTCGCTGGGCTCGGATCTCTCGGGCAGCCCATGCTGAACGCGCTTCTAGCTCAGAAAGTTTCCACAATCGTCCTCTCCCGAACGGAGTCCTCGACGAAGAGATCTTCGATCGGCGCTCAGTGCACTGTGCAAGTGGACTATTCGGCTCCGGCCGCGCTCACGGAGACACTCAAGAGACATCGGATCGATGCAGTGATCTCTACGCTTGCAGTGAAAGACGGAAGGATGGACGCTCAGCGCGTGCTTGCAGCTGCGGCGAAGGCGGCAGGTGTCAAGATATTCGTACCGTCTGAATTCGGCGTGACGAAGAATGGCCGGGCGGGGGGTGTTTTCCAGATGAAGAATGATTTCATTGGTCTCTCCTCCGCGCCAATATCTTCATGAAGCACTGATGGGTTTCCAGACTACCTGAGGGAGATCGATCTGCCATGTGCAACTTTCTATGCATGTCCTTTCATTCTAAAATGGTTTTATCTCTCTGAGAATACATGCCTCAGGTCGGGATGTTCATTGAATTTCTGCCGTGGCTGCTCAATCTGGATGAGGGTACAGCCTACCTCCTCAGTGACAGTGATGCGGAGTTTGGCGTGACCTCAACGAAAGACATCGCCGGTGCGTTCTTGTTGCAAATCTCGGGATCGAAAGCCCAGGCGTTGTTAATTCGTATCTCCAGACTTTGTGACATATGTGCTGACCCACCTCCCGCCGTTTTTGCTGGAGAACCAGACATTCACCATACATGGCGATCGTACCAGTCTCAAACGACTGCCGCAGCTCTTACGGGCAGATACAATCGAATTCGTGCATGAAATACCTGGTCCAGCTGGCGATAGGAAGGGCGCGTTGCAGAAGTTGATTTCTGCGGGCGCCGCAAGCGAGGAGGGTTCGAATGACAATCATCTGTGGCCAGAACACCAGTGGCTTTCGATACGAGACGTACTTATGTCTAACTCTACGCATTTTTAGAACGAAATTGCAACGATGACATGTGTATCGATATTATGAAAGATGAATCTGTGGATCTGTCAGTGAAGCAGGTCACGTTGGTCATCATCAATACGTGAGGCTGGGAACTTGACAGGAGAGCGACCGGTGGACGATTCCCCTGTTTCACAACCTGCCAGGGCAATCAAATGCGGGTCCTTCGGAGCTGCAATGCCAACCCCCTACTACTTAAACATCTGCCAGAACCGTGGAAGGTGCCGACCTGGTGCATGGGGTCGATCTCTCCTTGGAGTCTGTCACTTTCTACGGTGTACTGGAGAGCAAAGCGATTAGGGCATGCTTGCAACCGCACTGTCTGATTACAAAAATTTCTAGAGAGGAAATGGAATCTTTGCAGCAGCCGTAACTTACGTGAGATAATTTCCCGTATCTCAAATGTCCTATCCGCAGCTACAAAAGTTCAACATGGATTCATTTGGAACTCACGAGCACATCCACGCTGCGACAGCAATATTTTATCGAATCCTGCCACATGTCCATGTGATCGCTGCAACTAGACGGGGGTCCACGCGAGGGTCGGAAAGGATAAAAATCGACTCGTCTTCTCCTTCCAAACTTGCCCTGATTGGAAAATTGATTATTGTCCCTTCAAAATTTTACCAAACGAAATTTGAGAACTGGGAGGATGTGAGGTTCTGCGCTTGAAATAGAGCACACTCATACAAATCTTGTATAGATATCGATGACCAGCCCATCATGTTATGTATTAGTGTACGAAGGGTAGGTGGCGGGCAGTAGTGGAGGATGGAAAAGATAGCAATGGCAAGAGAAGATAGATGTGTTGAGTATTTAGAGAGTAAGATGGGCAATACTGTATCGGTGCCTAGCTTTCAGCTGGTAGGACCGCATGGGACTCGTATATTTGACTAAAAATGGGGCAGAACTAGCCAAGATGGAAAACCCGATAGCGGAGGTAGCGATACCGTAAAGCACCTCGGGCTGGGAAATCCCTCGAAACTGAAGTATTCCGAAAGGAGTCGAAATTTAAAAGGGACGAAGGGGACTTGCGATGAAGATCCGGCTGGGAAACTAAACGAGCGATGACGGGAAATTCGTGGAGCGACGAGAGCGAGTCCCGAATGGGACGAGGCTTTTAGGTTGATGCCATCTATTCTACGTTTTATATCACTCGGCAGTGGGTAGTTGTCAAAACACGGAAGAGCTCACAAATTGCTCATCAGGAAATTCCGGGCTCCTAACTGTAATTGACTTTGTGGGAAACTCTCCCAGCCGCCCATCGAGAAAGTTGTCTTTGCAGAACTCATCTCTGGTTTTCTCTGTAGTCTAACTAAAACACAGTGATCTTCTGCTGGCTGAGCGGTTTAATAATGTCATCCCCTATGACACAAGGACCCCGCGCCCGTTACAGAGCACGGAGCTCCGACTAGCCGTGTGTTTCTTCGCTCTTTGGTCATATACCGCGCGACTGACCAGCGGCAGTGTCACCAAAGGACAGGTTTTCACCATCCCGATCCTTGCTATCAATACAGACAAGGCGATTTGGGGTGAGGATGCCTTAGAGTTCAAGTACGTGTCCCCTGTCCCCCTGGATCGCGGATTGATCGCGTTCACTTTCAGACCTGAGCGATGGGATAACCTCCCTGAGGCCGTTCAATCGATCCCCGGAGTGTGGAGCATTCAATTGACTCTCTTTGCCGGTGCGCATAGCTGTATTGGCTTCTGATACGCTTTGGTCGAGTAAGCCCTCCCATTTTGCCGCACTACTGGAGTGGGGAGTCTTGTAGCTAGTCACGTGTGTCGTAGCTTAGTCATCGATCCAGCTTGGCTCAGGCCACCTCGCACCGACTCACCCCGCTTCTGGAGTATCCCTACTCCACTACTTGTGCTATTGGCTCAAGACGTCCCCACAGACAAAAGGCTATCCGGTTCAGTCTCCTCCGTGCTTTCGAGCCCCTTCCAGGTGGAGAAAATGTTTGCCCGTTGATCACATCCCAGCTGGGGCGACCATACTCATTTGTGTCCGATGGAAACGGTGGACAGGTGTCGACGGGTCGACTTTCAATCTTGTTGAAAGCCCGTAAAGATTCTTCATTGTGATTTCAAGTCTTTCTGCAATTCAAATTCAATAATATTTGGTTCAATATCAAGTCCACTTGGAGCCACACATTCACAATGAAAAGCAGGAATTGAATACAATTGGCTACAGATTCAGACACATCGAGATACATTGGCAAATTACATTAGCTCATACAACTAGGTTGCAATCAACAACCCAGGCCGGCGATGCAGGCTCAATGCAGCGAATGTAAGGGCGCCGACCAGGAAACCAGTGACGACACACGATGCATCCTGCGCAAACGACTGTCGCAGACCAGCAGCACCGTAGTAGTGCAGGCCGTCATCCTCGTGGTCAAAGGAGATAGATTCAGCGAACTTGCGCCAAACCTCGTCGTCAGCGTCCTCTTCCGTCATTCTCGTCTCCTTGCACTGCTCTGATGTGGACGAGATTCCGTGCTCATCCGCGATACTTGTTGATTCGCAGGACGGAAGACTGGAGACGACGAACGGGCGAGGTGTGATTTCGCACGAAGCATAGCAGCTGGGGATCGGACTGAGTTCGTCGACAGCTTGTGGGATGTCAAGCGAGAGTAATGGGAGGTCTCGGTCTCGGTCTCGGTCCTCCTCATCTCGAAGCTGGGCCACTGACATGTCGAGCGAAAGAGCCGGAATATCAGACATCCCCTCGTTGAGCGGCCAAGCCATCGAGAGCCGACCCAATGGAGATGCATGCGCAGGAACGTAGGTTACCGGGCTAACACCACCAGATCGCAAAGACGGAGGCGGAGTCGGCGGAGGCGTTGGCAAGCTCCAAGCGCTAGCATTGACAGCGGAGAAGATAGTCGGGGAGAGTTTGGGCGTGGCAGGAGGTGTGTAGAAGGACGTAGATGGTGAGATGGGGGAAATAGACTCGCCGACCAGCGGCAGGTCGCATTCTGAAAATGGGGGAGACGGCGGTGCGGTCACATTGGACGAGGACGGAGCCAAAGATACATCCGGATGGCGCGGCACCAGTCCACCCGTCAGTCGACGATGCCTCCACACCTCCTCTCGAACGAGTTTCACGATTGCCATCTCGACTTCACCATCCGCTGCTGTCATCGGCCATCGAGCTAGCGACTTGGCCATTTCCACCACTGTTTCCACAGCTTCATCAGCATCGACCTGCGATGCCCGACCTGAGCCCATCGTCCAATAGAACCATCCACCGACGAGTGTCAGTGCAAGTCGCACGGCACCCTCCGCGCTATCTTCGTGCTGTTTGTCGTTCGGGAGGGAGGCGAATACAGCGGAAAGGTGCGCGCAGAATTCGTGGAACTTGGCTGTCTTGGATGTGGGATGGTATGCCCAGGATACCCGTGCGAGAGGACCCGGTGCGCCATGGGAGAGGTGATGTCGCTGCGGTGCGAGACAAAAGCTGGGCAGCTTGTCGAGGATGCGAAGAAGAGGAATGGACCCAAGCACGGCGGACTGCGGGATTGCACCGTGGATGAAAACGGTCTGCGTCTCTGCTGCGTGGCGCTGCCATTTCACGTGGTTCTTCTTGCGGCTGCGTAGGACGGTGAGAACGATTGCCACGTACTGCCTGCCAATACCCACCTCGCAATGGGTACACCACGCAGCACGTCCAAAACGACTACCGCGCGCTTAAACACGCTCGCGCACCTCGCATCGATCACGGCGATCTCGACGTCGTGTTTCACGCCATAGTGATATCGCCGCACGGCTTCCCAGAGCGCCCAGTAGAAGCTGAACGAGGTCGATACGTAGGGCGAGGACTGCCGGGTTGTCCAATCGAGATGCGTGGCGATCGATTCGTAGTTGGGCTCAAACAAAACCTCAGGCAAGAGCTCCTCCGCGTATTCGTTCCATCGATTGTCGAATCTGAGACCAGTGAAGGGGACACCGAAGTGAGTACCTGACTTGGGAGTGTATACCCGGAAGAGGAAGCGGTTCCAGCCGTTGGATGTGAGCGAGCAAAAGGAGGCGCAGGAGGGAATGCCGTGCTGAGGGAGAGACATGGATGGAGGGGGTTTCGCGGGGAGGAAGAGGATAGGAATCCAGTCCTGCAGTGGCACTGGAACGTTTTATTGGTGCGTTCTCTTCATATCTTCTCATCCACCACACATCTTCAGCGTGTATCATCCACCCTGCCTCACCCACATGGAGTTCGATCCATCTCGAGTCCACTCCATGCGTCCATTGGATGAGCGAGAAGCCTATCGGTAAAACGTTTTTCGTGGGAAATGATTCCGGAATTTGGCGCAGAGCAGCAACCCTTGATCTTGAATCGAGTGGCAGGAGGGGAGCACAACAAAAACGAGGCGTGGGTCATGTCGGGGATCAAACTTAGCCGGTAGTATAGATCATTGTGATCCCAGAGCACAGCTTTAAATTCGGGGGCTCCAAGTTTCAGTTTCAAGCCCGGCCATCCAATGATTTGTCCTCCGTGTGAAAGATACACGTAAGACTCAGATAGAACTCTCGATACCGAAGGGCCAACGATTCTAGAAATCATTTGGATGGACCTGTTCTTCAAAAGTGGGATAGAGCGATTGCATAAATCTTGGGATCAAGATATCTCCCATCTGAAAAGCCCGAATCGAATAGAGAATGCTCGAGCCCAGTGTCCGGAGAACTCTATTTCAGCTGTCACTCCTCAACTCAAATCCGTCAGTGCGACACACCATGACACATAGTGAATGTCGACACCCACCCCGCACTATGTCGTCACACCGGACATTTGGGCCCGCGTTAGAAAGAGCGCAGCGGAAGGCAGGTTTTTTTTAGTATCCTGCATAGGTGATATAGCGCTGCACCAACTCCATGCTGGCTCGATACGCACGAAAGCATAGTAACATTTAGGCAGCTCAGCTTGCTCCTTACTCAATGCGTTGCATCTGTGAGATGAGAGGAGAGAAACATTTGTGGTCAATCATTTGGAACTGCAAGCCCAGAGAACCAGCCTAGTGATTTAGCTCGGATATCGGAGAAATAGTGGCAGGCCTGAAAATTAACGGTTCATAACTACACGAGCGACTCGAGCCCTTTGATTTTTAAATTTGCTAGCATGGTGCGTAGAAGAGCTAATGACCTCGTGCAATGTGGGGCATACATTCAGAATTCAGGGGCTGAGCACGGTAAGCCCATCTTGCTAAGCTCTCAAGCTCCACTCACAATAGAGACATGAATTCTCTGCGAAGCAATGAAGGAGTATGTGAGCCAATGGTGGGTAATACATTTGAGCAGCTGAGATTCTCGTGGTCTATGATACGGCCATATGAGATGTGATTAAATTTACTACGCAAGGGAGTCCCTCAACTCCCTAGAAGACGACAGGTTTGAGTGCCGTTGGTTGTAATCTATGGGGGGATCGTCTGGCATCCAGATCCTTTGAACAGCATTGAGCCGGGATTTAGTGCGGAGTTGCCGAAGCTCGCCCCGAACGAAGAGGGAAACTTCTGACCATTTGAGCCTTTCAATCTGTACGTGTTTGAATGCCATGGCAGGCTGCACGAGAACAAGGAAGAAAACGAGTACTTGGTTGGTTCCTACTGCTCCCTTTGGCCGCGGCTATCTGCGGTGCGACGGCCCGGGCTCGATCTCAGTGAATGACATCCAGTCACCTTGCGGTTCATAGGACTGTCTACTCCTGGTCTTAACTCAGATCTAGGTCCCACTCACACACACACATAGAGTGCTTCTTTCGTAGCAACTGACTCTAACACTAGACCACGAATAGCTGCTAACCGCTGGCTTCTTGGAACAGTCGGCGACGGGGGTTTGCGACAGTGCATCAACCCTGATGATCACTGATTTTATCAGTGGCACTCGAGTTCTCGGAGGGATCCACCCTCAGCCCTCAGGAAAATGGAACTCCTAGGTTTGACAATCTCTACCGTTCGACGTGGTTGCAATCGTGCCAGGGATTAAGTAACTGAGAGTTCCAAAAAGGGGCGCATCATCGAGCTCGCTCATTTAAGTAGACTGCATCCCCAGAAAGACCGGAGGGAAGATTGTTGCTAGTCTGATCAAGCGGGCAGCGGAGCGCCCACGACACCCGTCAGCCAACGGAAACTCCCGCCCGGGAGCGTCATTAGTACCTCGTTAGGGTCCCATCAGTTTGGTCTTTATCATCTTCCGGAACATCGCGCGTTGGATTCTTTATCATTTCAACGCGGGTAAGTAAGATAGTAATACAGGTCCTCGAGGGATTGCCGAGCCTCGGAGTCATCGCATGTAACCCAGTGCGAGGTGTTTCCGCTGAAAGGACTGGCGGACCGGGGGCGGATCGGTAGGCCCGTTGACTCACGCTATCTGACGCATTTCATATTCCATAATACTCAGGTTGGGTGGTGATTCGAGCATTTGCTTTTGGTCATTTGAAATTGTTTTCCTGGCGTGGAAGTGCCCTGAGCAGTCACGCAATCAGGAAGCGCAGTCTCTCGTTCTCAGGAGCGGGAGATGCGTGATGGATGGATGCACCAGGCGTCCTGCGCGGGATGCTGCTTGAGAGATGAGCCAAAAAGCATTCAATCACGGTTTCTGCTTGTCAGATCGCAGTCAGTCTGTAGGTGTGGCGCGCGTCCGACACTCGTCGGCTGACCCGCAGGTACGGAGCGATCTCCACCGCCACACGTCACACTCGTAGCAACAGACGACCGGCATTCCCCGGCTGGCTTGCTATTCAGGGAGCTTGGGTGGTGAGCACGTGCTGCTGGGCATTTGCCGAATGTCAGGGTTCCTCGCCGCGCAGAGACTTGAATCTTGATGCTGTGTTTATCCATCTATGTGGAAGCTGTCCTAGTCTTTGCCGGTCTCGCCACTAGCCCTCGATCGGGCTTACGTGTGATCGATTCATGATCGACGTCCTGCATTTCCCGACACGAGGCTCCGCAGACGTCGCACCGAGGGCGGCGAGTTGTTGCGTTACCGCTCAACAATCTTCAGATACATCGAGGTACCTGGCGAAGCCTGAAGTCAAGTCTGTGAGACAGGGAGCCGGTAATGTAGGGGATCCCGACACAATTCAGGCGACCCAACGGCTGATTTGCACGGATTTGCGCCCAATTCTCACGAGCGCCGGAGATGCAACCCCATTTAGGTCAAGCCCATGAAGAAGCGAACGCAAATCCGCTTGTCGGACGGCGCCCGAGGAGACAGACAAGATAGACGATGGCTTTGTGCTAATTTATTGCCGAGCCGCTGCAAATCCCCCGCTGGGAATCCGCGGAGCAGACATTGCCGAAAGGGTACTAATAGCACGTATGGTGCGTGTCGGCCAGAATCCTCGCTCCCCCGGATACGCGTAGACTGACTGACTGCCCCACTCAAATCTTGCTTCGACATCATCGCGCGAATTCTCTTCGTCTGCCTTCGGCTTGACTCGCAAGGCTTCTTCTTCGAGAAAATCCCGGCCTTTATCTTTGACTGGACGCTCCTCCTGGCATCTACTTAAAGGCCCCGAGAAGTCATAATTAACAGCACATCTGTTCTTCGCCCACAATTACAGCGTCTGCAGTACACTATGGCCCCCACCATTGTCCTCCCCAGCATTCACGAGATGTTTCCCGAACACTTGATGATCGCGCGGCCCGGCCCGCCACCAGCAGCGCCAGCAGCCTCTCGACCGCACTTCCATCCCTATCTCCCCGCCACCACACCACCGCCGGCTCATGCATCGACCTCGCAGCGCGCGAGGGTCCGCCTTCCCTCGATACACACGGCGCTTCCACCCACGACCGGCTCTCCCGCGTTCTCATTTGACGTACTCAAAAACGATCCGCGAACGTCGTCGCTGACGCACATCGCGTCAAGCCGACCGCGGCGCCCAACGACATCCTCCTCCTCCTGCTCCTCTGATGATCTGGACTTGCAAGACGGTGATGACGAGTCGGGGGATTTCGGGCCAGAGGAAGAGGAGGGGAAGAAACATCTGTGTCCCACGTGCGGCAAGCGGTTCAACCGGCCCAGCAGCCTGCGAATCCACGTTAACACGCACACCGGCGCGACGCGTAAGTGTTCTTCCTTCGGATCTCCAGAGCCGGATGCTGATTATCGGGCCTCTCCAGCATTCCGCTGCCCGTACCCTAATTGCGGACGCGCTTTCAACGTGAACTCGAACATGCGTCGGCATTTTAGAAATCACGGCGCGCCTCCGCCGCCGACTCCCTTGAGCCCAGTTGACGGCGCTCGTGCGCATGCGGCATCTCGGCGGTCGTCTCCAACGCTATCAGTGTCTCCCCCGCCGTCGTCGGTGACGTCGTCCTGTTATTCACCTCTCACACCTGTCTCGCCGCTGTGGCGGGATCACGCTCATCCGTACCATTCTTACACTGCCAAGACGAGTCCGACGACATTCTTCGAGAGTGATGTGCGGAGCGAGAGGCGATGACAGAGAATGCCCTTGGCTAGATTCTTGTCATTCCCCCCTACATTAGCTCGTTTGTTCCCTCGATGTAAAATCCGACGATGTAATACCAGAGAAGAATGCGTGTGTACGACCTATTTACTGTACGCCACTCGCCAGACAAACTCTTAGCGACCGACAACGACGGGATGTCCCTCAAGATTGTGTTCTGTGTCGATTAATCCTGGTCAATTCCTGGATAATTGGATCTGGATTTCTTGACCTACTCCTTGCAATCCTGTCTCCTTCCCATGATCCATACAATTCCAGCGAACAGTTTGGACAAAATTCACCGTTGCAGATTCTGTTCTGGGACGGATTATGGGCAGAACCTCGGGATTTGATGTCACGGATAATTAAGCCACGTTTTCGTTTTTCTTGCAACGATGACAAAAGATGGTCTGCCCGCGACCATGACGGTGATTAAAAGCTCACTCTGAGCTTATGTTGAGCACACTGAGTTTCTGCCGACCGGAGTCAAATCCAACTGGATCCGGGCCCCAGTACTGATGACTGTGTGCACCAATAAGAAAGCTCGAAATCCGCAACCCCGGTGAATTATTCGTAATTAGCTCAAGCTTCATGATTCACAGGGACCCAGCTGCTGGATTCATCCCTTCGTGGGTTCCAGCACCGGCAGATCGACACAAGATCCTCGGCGATCCTCAAGTAGGGCTGTCCGATGACCGTATTGAGACCCGGTGCGTCTTCACCCATTCTCACGGCATGTGATTCGATTCCAGCCGCAGAGACGAATAGACCCAGCTGACAGACAAGCTGCTGGGCTGAATCCAGCACTTATCCTGTCAGCGAACGATCGCACCTGATTAGTCGCCGGACGATGCGGATCCGGGATCTCCGGTGAAGCTTGACCTTGAGACAAATCCAGCTCGTGATTATGTAAAGAAGATGAGTCCAGCATCACTTGATCCTTGGCGCCGGAATATCTGAGGTGCTAGTCCTTGCATGACCAGGCGCCTAGTGTCCGGTCAATGGCAGACGGCTTGGGAGACGTGATTCAGATCCACACGCCGCTGATTATTTTCTTTAGAAAATGCCGCCAGGCCAGGGCGTATTTAAAACGGAGGCAATCAGGGACCGAGTCCACGAACCCATGGGATCCGAGGCGAGCAGTCGGGAAAACTAGCCACGAACCACTTCTTATAGAAGACTCCCCGGTCACTTAACCGGCGGTCAACCTTAGCTCTCGCGTAAGAACTTACCGTGGAATCTCATGCGTTCGTCACGAGAGAGGAGGTAACGCGATCGGATTTCAATCGAGCACGGTACTCATCTTGTGTCGTGTGACTCCTGGAGGAGCTCGGGGACTGCCCGACCAGGCGCTAGAAGTTGCTTCTGACCGGGAGAGACCTGGGAAAACGCCGAGAATGCATCGTCGAGGATTGGTGAGCTGTTGATCTGGTCGGCGATTTGAGTGACGTATGTGAGTTCGGCAGGCCCATTGATGTCATCTCCAGGGCCTGTTGGGTGGTAAATGCTGCAGATTTGGGGGAGTGGGGATGAGAGCGCGATCAAGATTATTCAATCGAGGCAGATATTTCCTTGGAGTTGATTGGCTGGCTCTTGCCCTACGAGGTCTGGTACAATGAGGACTGCCCGATTCTTGGGTCGATCATCCATCCCTCCATTCATCTCCCCTATCGACTAATTTAAAAGGTGATGGACGCCGATTCCCATCCTGGCATCTTTGAGCCGTGGGCTGAGGGCTTGTTGCCTGTTTCGAGAGATCTCACACTTACTCAAAGACAGCCGTATCGTTGTTACTTGCTATGGGTGGAAAACGCGCTCCAATGCGGCCCGCTTTGCCTCGCTTCTTGACCCGCTCTAGCCATTTTTGATTTTGCTCGATTTGTCAGCACCCTAGAAACGCTAGTCGATCGGCTTGTCCAAGGCTGAGGGAGATCAGTCTTTGATCACCGGATTCACGCTGTGAAAATCGAGTAGTCCCTTCGGTACTTATAAGAACACTTGAATGCGAGTGTCTCAGTCTCAAAAGCTATGTCTCGTGGCGTCCTCAATGTCTGTTTCCAGACGAGAAGACACACATTGCGGGCTCGAACACCCCCAAAAGTAATTCAACAAAAGCGAGATGTCTACATAGGACATCGACCTCAAATTGATACTGTAACTTTCCTGAAATCCGAGACACTAGTGGATAACGAGGGCCCAGGGTGAAATGGGATCAAATATGTGGGTGATCAAACTCTAGCAGATGTCTGAACAAGAAATGAGGTCGAGAAGATGAGGCTCATATGCGCCATGTTGATACTAGCTATACATCATGCACCAGATACTCATCCCTCTGTTCGCGTCAACGATTTGTTTTCCAACCCGGGAGAACAGATTTCCCCGAATGGGCGATGTGAGGATCGGCGTCAAAAAGGGCTTGATAGAGGCACCAATGCGACGTGTTGCAAAAACTCATCGTCGGGCATCCAGTCCTGGACACATTATTAGCCGCTCTGATGGATTCTCTTCCTCTCTTCCATGGGCTAAAATCACCTTCATCATACGCCTATCAGTGGGATGGATGGCCAAGCACCTCGCTATATGGGATCTTTGCAATAACCATGCCCGAGGTTGCAATTTTAAATTAACAAATTCCTCCTTCAGATCCGAGAGTATCGTCCACAAACTCGCTCGCCAGTTTCTCCATAAAATCTGCCAGATGAGTCAGCTTGTCAAACAGAGACTTTGGGGTGGGACTGCAGCCCTGCGTCGCCAATATTTTAACATCTGTCTTTATGGTCTCTATCTCCCAACAATCATCTTGATCCCCCGTCCTTGATTTATTCTTCTATAGCAAGGCTATCACCCTCCTTGCCTCTGTATTGGAAGTTTACAGGTCCTTGCCGATTCTAATCGCTCCGGTGCGTGCTTTCGGAACGTATGAGAACCCATGCACCCAGCCTTCCGTTTGGCTAAATTGTTCCTTCGTCATCAGTTTCTTACTTCGCAAGGGCCTGGGCCACTATCAGTGCCCGAGCGCGAGAAATTACGAAATTTCGGGCCACAAGCGGATTTCCGGGGACTTGATCTCCAGTGCAACGCATTCGACATTCGAAGCCGAAAAACGTATTCTCGTTCGTTCATCCTTCATATCGCCCGAATACGCGCTTCGGTAGCGTTCGAATGCTATCGCATCTCCCACATGTGTGTTCCCTGTCCTCTCAGGCTTCAATTTTTTCGGTTCCTGTGCTGAACGCTCATTATCGTCCGTGTGGAGAAGTTCGGCCTGACAGTGACTGCAACCTGCTGCGCATGACGGCATGAGAATCCACATCCGTCGCCATAGATACTTTTCTTCGCAACCCATTTGTGCTGAATCAATGCTTATGCGAGCCATCCGGCACAGGTCGGGCGGTGGCATACACGAGGTGGCCGCTTCGCCGACACGTCAACTGACAAAATCAAACTCAAAGTGGTCTTTAGTTCTGGTGATCGCTACGGTCCTAGCAGTAGTACGAGTACGCTTGGTTAGGTATCCTTTGGTGATCGTGTAGCTCGCACGGGGGTTTCTGTGAGCGGGAGTGAGCTAACAAGCAGTCTCTGTCTCGGGGCGAGCGCGGTGATTCCGATTTCGAACAGGCCCGTAATTTCAACTCCTCGGTTAGGGCTAGCGGCGGTGAAATTTTGAGCCTCAAGAGATCTGATTATTTGAGGTTGTCTGGAGCGATTTCCATTCGACTAACACTTCGTATTTCAAGCTTCTTGAAAGCGTTGCTTTTGCGTCCAAGCCCATCATCGTAATCTTGGGATCGGATTTTCCTATGAGCAGCTTATGAACCTTTCATTGTTGACTAATCTGCGCCCTTATTGCCGCAGCGTTTGGAAGGGTCTTCAGTTTAGAGCCGTACATACAGATCCAACCTCAAGCAAATAGAATGAGAAAAAATCGAAAAAAATTGGGACGGGTGTCAAGTAGGTAGAGCTCATGTTTGTTTCCTTTGCGCTGGGAGCTGGAAAATGGGAACTCAGCACAGCCAATTATCATGCGAAGATTGCACTGCCTTTTTGATGGCTGATCATTGAAACGATTTTTGGTCGGAACCGCATCCCTGTCATAGTCATACATTGAATCGACCAGTCACCACTCCCCAGCCTAACCAGACTGCCATCCACCCAAACATCGATATTCGCATTTCAGTCTTGTATCCCCTCACATCATGTCAACGGTCGTCACCCCACCCCAAGTCCAAACTCAGCATGCTGCTCGTGGAGGCAGAGGAGCAAAACGTGGCAATGGGAACCGCAATCGCGCGGGTCGCGGACGTGGAGGTGCCAACACATCCAGTGCACCCGCTGGTGCAACACCTCCGAGCGACGGGCAAGTGGATACCGCTAGCAAGCCCGCTGCAACGGCAGACGTGCAGGACGACGACGAGATCTGCTTCATCTGCGCAGATCCCGTGAAATATTGGGCTGTATCGAACTGCAATCATCGCACATGCCACGTGTGCTCTCTGCGGCTGCGTGCCTTGTACAAGAAGAATGAGTGCACGTTTTGTAAGGTGCGTTTCCATATCTTTGCCCTCATCACGCTCCATCCAATCTCCGTGTAGGAGCCACAACCGTCTATCGTCTACACGACATCTCCCGACGCTTCTTACGGCTCCTTTGAATTGGAGAACATGATGTTCAAAGACGCGAAGCTCGCGATCTACTTTGAGACACAGGAGATGATGGAGGAAACGCTGCTGCTCCTCAGATTCAATTGCCCAGACACCGACTGTGACTTCATTGGAAACAGCTGGAGTGACGTGAAGCTACACGTCCGAGCAACTCACGGACGACTCATGTGGTGCGTCTGTGCGTTGCCGGGTTTCAGCTCCCGATAACACTCATTCAGCGACCTTTGCATCCGACACAAGAAGGTTTTCGCACATGAACACGCTTTGTACCCACCGAACATCCTTCCGCTCCATTTGCCGTCTGCTTCCCGCCATCGGAACGGAAAGTCGAAGGACAAGGAGACCGAGAAAGATATCGAGGGCGGAATCCATCCTCTCTGCGAATTCTGCCGCGAATGTTTCTTCAGCAGCGACGAGCTGTATCCCCACATGCGCGAGACCCACGAAGAATGTTTCGTTTGTAAGCGGAATGGCGTGCGTGACCAGTAGTAAGACAAAGCTGGCTTCACTCTCGTTACTGGCACTGAGTCACCGACCAGCTTCCTCAACTACCCAGCGCTTGAAACGCATTTTGGTGATGCACACTATCCATGCACACATGCAACCTGTCAAGCTCAGAAGTTTGTCGTCTTTGGTTCAGAACTCGATCTAAAAGCCCATTCGGTCGAGGAGCACGGTGGCGAGATGGACAAAGGCGGAAGGCGGGATGCGCGGAGGGTGGAACCTACCTGGGACGGGGTGGCTGGAGGTGGTCGACATGGTCACGGCAGGAATAGAGAACATGCAAGAGATCCACCACCTGCTGCACCACCACAGAGACCTCCAGGAGCGGGTCGACGTAGAGAGGGTTTCGGTGCTACTCTTACCGTCGAGGGGGAGAGTACGCCTGCTCCGAGTCCGACCCCGACGCCACCACCGCCTTCCCGAAGTGACGTGGATCCCGCTACTGCGGAGTACGTTTCCTCTCTTCATAGGAGAGAATGCACTCACACCCTCCGTCAGACGTCATGCCTCTTTCCTGGCGCGCATGGCTCAGTTTGCACCGAATGCGACTACTGCTGTTCCCGCTGCTCGCGCGGCCATCCGGTCTTTCCGTGCCAATGAATCGTCCGCGAGAGATCTTATCTCGACTTTTTGGAGCATCCTCGACGCAAAACGAGAAGCAACCACTAGTGTTGTGAATGGGCTGGTGGACCTACTAGACGATGACGAGCAGAGGGAAGCGGTGCTGGCTGCGTGGCGGGCGTTTGACATCGAGGTGTGTGACCACGACCCATAAGTACATATTGGTGACTCTGATTCTTCGGCCAGCAACGTCAACAGTTTCCTGACTTGGCGGTGCCCACCGCTGTCGGTTCTGGCTATTCTGGCATCGCTAGCGGGCGAGTTTTGAATGCGAAACATGCAACCGCTGGCCGAACGGGAAGATCCCAAGTCTGGGACCGCGTTGCTCAGGCTGCAGGCTCGTCGTCCTCTGCGAACACGAAATCTTCTGCGCCGCCTTTCCCGGTGCTCGGTGCTGGGCCTGCCCGTCGTTTCGTCCCTGGAGCTGCTAGTCGCTCGACGCCTTGGTCAACCGGCGGTCAATCGGTCCCTACGGGATATGCAGCATCGTCATCCTTTGTGCCCCTCACTATGCAGGCCCCAGCGCCGACAATCGCGCCGTTCTCTCGCACCATGAATACCGGCAAGTCTGGCCCGGCACCAAAACTATCTAACGCGCTGTTTCCTGAGTTGCCACCGAGCGCCGGTGCACGCCAGAAAGTCAGCGTTCGGGGCAATCAGTCACTGAAGAACATTGCCGGAGGAAGCAGTGCGCCGGCTGCTTCTGTATGGGGAGCGGGCGTTACTGCCGAGGAAACGGCATTCGCAAGTACGGAAGTTCCTGGGTCGGAGGGAAGCGTGAACGGGAATGCAAAGAAGAAGGGTAAGGGTAAGGGTAAGCAGACGCTGTTCACGCTCGGTTCGTTTCCGTCGTGATAAGCGGGTCACGAGTCACCTGATTCACATTAACCGACGACTGGATCCCGGCATAAGGCCCCACTCTACGCACCTTGCTCGCATTGGGCACACATTCACAAGCTCACCGATGTACTCTACCCATTGAGCAGTGTACACGTTGAAGCATTAGAACACGAAAACCATTGCAAGGAAACGAGACTGATAACAGAGTCCGAGGTGGGCGTCGCCGGCGGGAGGGTTCTTTCGTGAAAGCTGAGGTGATCAAGTGCGATGATGTCCTCCGTCAGAAGCTGGTTCGTACAGGTTATTAATATTCTCCTCGAGACGAAACACAGGTCCAGGTATCTGTTTTGAGAAGGGTGTTGCGATACGGACTCGGGTCCGATAGGCTGATGCCTACACAGGTCGGTGCTGACAAGAGGGTGTCGTTTAGAACGTGGCCCGGGGGAAGCCGGTCACTACGCACAGCGATGGGCTCACCGTAGATCCTCCTCTGCCTCCAGAAGAACTAGATCGAAGCAGCGACTATCAGATGAGCGATTCTTGAACTTTTCACTCCTATAGTGGACGATGCAGTGTTCTGTCGCAAAATACATCGAATGGGCAAGGAGAATGTTTCTCGTGAGTTTCTTAGACATCGTCTCTGCGAAAGACCCACAGCACGGGCGGAGGCCTTGTGAAGCCCGAACGTTCAGTATTGACATGTTCCATCTTTAGTGATTCAAAATCGCGTTCGATAATGATGACAGGAGATCTGTGCGATTCAAAATCATGAGCGACCAGCGTAGGGATCATCTGGGTGTCTAGCTCTGGCAGGATATGGAGCTGCTCACTAACCCTGTGAGTGAAATGAACCTGTATTCGAGTTGTCTCCAAACGATACATGTCCCACGGCTCACTCGCACTCGATGGAAATTCTAAATTTACCCGAGTCCGCAGTCCGTTTTCCCGGGAACATCGCTGGACGACAGATCAACAAGCGGCCGAGGGTGTTGCCGTTGCTCCTGACTGATAAACGGTGAGCTCTGACTGGCTAGTTCAGATGGCCGGGTGTCAGTCGGAGCCTTGGGCTTCCTGTCAGTGTTAGGCTACGCGACAATTTACATAGCACCCTGTGTCACCAGGAAAAATGCAGAACGTACAATCAAGTCAGCGCTAAGTACACGGAATGCATGCGATGGGTCGGGCGTGATGGCATCAATCTGATCACGCACGCCGATCCAAAATAAATGCCGATCACACGCACTGACCTCCGCCCATATGTTCTCGACTCGACAATGGTCTCCACGCACCAAATCGCTGGAAGGGCACCAGCTGCAGTCCCTGAGCCTATGTCATTTCGCGACTAGACCTGAAGTTTATCCTGACCTCAAGCTCATGCAGCAAGCCAATCTCGGTCACTGGGATGACGGGTTTGGAAGGCCATCATGACCGAGATCTTCCATCCTTGGAAACGATTGCCTGGACCGGTCCATGAATCGCTAGTCTATTTGAATGCTGGAGGCAAGTCTCCAAGCCGTGCGTGCCGCCCTTCTTCCTTCCCTTCTTGCTAGCCATTCATTCTTCATTCTCTTTGTCTCCGCAGGCCGGTTTCCCTCCTCTCATTGACGAAGCCCTGCTGCCTCAATCTTCTCGTACTCGAAAGCTACTTGTAATCGCATCCGCACACACACGCCTACCATGGATCCCTCCCCACCTGGCGCGAGCTATCTGCAGCGCAACAAGACCGAGCGTGGTCGGTTGCAGGGTCTGCAGCAGATCGACTCGTCCTCGGCAAGACCAGCCGTGCAGCCCAACGCAGTATCGACTTGGAGTGTGTGGCTCATCAACGAGGGACACCACAAGATCTTCTTCGCCGTCTTCATTGTGCTGCATCTGGTCGCGCTCATCCTGGCGTCGATCCACTACAGCTTGAAAGACAACCTTTTCGGCGCGCGGGCTGAGTTCGGACCCACCTTCGGTGCGGGTCTCTCTCCGCAGTTATCTTTCCTTGTGTACTGATACCAGTCAGTCATTGCTCGTGCGGCTGCCGTGCTCCTACACATCGACGTCATCTTCATTCTCCTCCCAATCTGCCGCAACTTTGTCTCCGTGCTCCGCCGGACGCCGCTGGGAACAGTGATACCGTTCGACGAAAACCTGACACTCCACAAGGCGACGGGCTGGTCCATATTCATCTGGTCGCTAGTACACACACTCGCACACATCGTCAATCTTTACCGGCTCACGAGAGCTGACACCTCCCTCAAGACGATCGGTGCGCGCGTCGCTTTCTTCCTGTATGCCAATGTCATCATCGGGCCTCTCTGGACGGGCTGGCTGATGTGGGTATGCTTGGGTGTGATGGTGTGGTATGCAATGGAGAAACGGCGACGTCAGGCGAACGGCGGATTCGAAAAGTTCTGGTACACGCACCATCTCTTCATTCCTTTCTTCCTGCTGTGGCAATTCCACGGCATGTTCTGCATGATCAAACCTGACCGCCCGCCGTACTGCTCGTTCAATACAATCGGTGTCTTTTGGGTGCGTGTGTCTGTGTTTGGGGACTCGACTCGAAAAGCTCACCTTTACCTCAGCGGTACTGGATCGTCGGGGGTCTGATCTGGATCTACGAGCGTGTGCTGCGTGAAGTGCGTTCGCGACATTCGACGCACCTGTCCAAGATTATCCAGCACCCGTCCAATGTCATGGAGCTGCAAATCAAGAAGGAGAAGACCACAACACGGGCGGGCCAATACATCTTCATCAACTGCCCTGAGGTCTCGTACTGGCAGTGGCACCCCTTCACGCTCACTAGGTGTGCTGCGTCTGGCTAATACTCGAGTCGTTTGCTTACAACCGCCCAGCGCTCCCCAGGAAGATTACATCTCCGTGCACGTCCGTGTGGAAGGCGACTGGACAACTGCCATGGCAGAGGCCGTCGGTTGTGATTTCCCGAAGAAAGGAGCCAAAGGCGCGTCCGAAAGCAAGGTTGTGCCGCCTCCGATGGGTCGCGCGTTGCCACGAGTGATGGTCGACGGACCGTTTGGCACATGTTCGGAGGAATTCTTGAACTATGAGACCGTTCTGCTCGTCGGTGCAGGTATTGGTGTCACACCCTTTGCTTCGTTCGTTGTCAGATTTCCGTGGTTCTTCCTCAATGCTTACGGTTTTCAGCATTCTAAAAGCGATTTGGTACCGAATGAACAGCATCGGCGGTGCTAAGCCCACACGATTGTCCAAAGTGTACTTCACTTGGGTCATCCGCGACTTTGGCACAGCGGAGTGGTTCCACTCGCTGCTACAAGCCATCGAGACGCAGGACACCCAGAACCGGATCGAGATTAACATCTACCTTACCCAGAAGATCAAGGAGGATGACATGAACAACATCATCGTACGTTCGCTTGTCTGCTCTTTTCGATGCCACCTTCATCGAAACCGTAGGTGCACGATGTGGGTGCCGAGAAGGACGCAATCACCTCTCTCCGTGCGCCGACGCACTTCGGGCGACCGAACTGGGACAAGATCTTTTCGTCTATCAGCCAGAAACACCCAGAGTCCGACGTTGGGGTGTTCTTCTGCGGCCCGGTAGCTATCGCCAACACCCTCGGCGAGAAATGCAACGCATACAGCAGGGACGAGGGAACGCGTTTCTTCTTCGGCAAGGGTCAGTGGCTCGCTTTGTTTCCTCCCAGGTCTTTGCTGATTGTCTCGACGCGAACAGAGAACTTCTAGATGTTTTGATCTGCGCTCGTGTACTTCTAATTGTAGCTAATTCCCAGGTCATCCATTCTTACATATCAGTGGTGGCAATCTCGTCGTTATTTGCGGAGAGAATCCGTGTAGGCATGGTATCATGTATATATATCCACTCCACTTTCTCGCAACGCTTCGGTGGAGACAGTTGCCCGCCATTTTCGGTCTGTACCGGTTGCTGTCCAATGCAGCCCGTAGGCATGCACTTCTGCGCGTGTCACCAAGAGATAGAGCGATCCCTGCCTGTGAATCCGGCACTCTGCCAAGTCTGACAGCGCCCCGTTTCGTATCGAGCAGGCTGACATAGGTTACACGGCTGTAGTTGCTGTGAACCAGCATGCATTCGCAGTGTGCTAGCCGACAAGCCGGACAGACGGGGACGAAAACGTTTCCCTGAATCGTTCCCTTTGACTATAGTGCGCGCAGTAGCTTGCAGGCTAACGCAACGTCGAAGAGCTCAACCTTGCCAGACCTTGAAAGGTTTTGGTGCGGCCGGTGTCCATGGGGCCCAGTCCGGTAAACTGATCGATACGGATTAATAGAGGTTGTAAGATACTTGTCTGCAGCTTCATATCCTGTAGGTGGGTCTCAATCCCATACTAAGCGCCCCCCAGAATCCACACTTGCTGCCATACCCCCACTCAGCTTGCTCTTATTTCCATTCGTGCCTTTGCCATACACTAGAACATGCGTGTCAGTGAAGCAACGAGAGATCGAATAACAGCACCATACGCTCTTTCATCCGCTCCTGCTCAAGACCTCGCCGATGAGCAGCCAGAGCTCGCAGCCTGTCGTCCTCCGCAGTGGCTTTAGCAGCTTTCTGCGCTGCGCCGCGTTTTGCGTTCTTCTTCGACTGAGAACCAGCACCTGCAGCCCCGGCGGAAAAGCTGCTGCTCGATTTGGTCCCAGAGAACGAGCTGGAGGAGGTAGCGGCTGGCTTGCTGGAGCGGGACTTGACGGGGACGAATCCCCATTCGCCTTCTTCGTCTTCACGCGAGTCCAGACCACTCGCGGAGGCTTCTAGATCGGCAGTCGCTGCAGCGATGGCGGCGGCATTCTCGTTGCCATCTTCATCGACTTCAGCGTCATCCTCCGTTGAGTCGGCGTCCGGGGTAAGCGCTGGAACCACTCTCATGACGCGCGCAAGACCGGGGTTCGACGGGAGCATGCTGCGTTGACAATGAGCAGAAGTTGACAACTAGAAAAGCCGGTACTCACTCATCCACAGCAGTCTTGCGCGGTTTGGGAAGCAGCCGCTCAGCGAGCGGCTTCTTGGGCTTTGGGCGCATGCCAGGAAGCGGAATCTCCTCGGCTTCTTCTTCATCATCTTCTCCATCGAGCCCAGTTAAACTGCTGTCCTCCGCGACACTGCTTGTAGCCGTATCGGTGCCTCCCACGCGTGTCCACCCATCATCTGTCGTGTCTCCCGCCGCCGACAAGGTAACAGCTTTCTTCGGCACCTTCTTCTTTGATTTGGCGGCAGAGGGGGAGGGTTCAGAGGCTGGTGGAGGAGGCAGAGAGGATATGGCTGACGCAGTTGACCCAGTGGCTGCCGAAGTCGATTTCTTCCCTTTCCCCTTCTTCCGAGAGTGAGCTTTGACTCTCTCAGTCTCCTCCTCCACCTCATCCGCGACGGATGTCGTGTCGAAAGCGCCTGGGAGCAAGGACGAGGGGGACAGAGCCAACGGTGGGGCCGGAGCAGTGGGTGTGTCCATACCAGTCTGTTGCTTCTTCGCCTTCGCCTTGGATTTCGGCTTGGTCTTAGACGACGGTTCAAGGGTAGAGACAGCTGCAGTCGCGAGAGCTGGTGCACTGGGCGATTCGATTAGGACGGGCTCCGTGTTGCGCTTTTTCTTCGACTTGCTCTTCTTGCCCTCAACAACCATTTCCGACTCGTCAGAGGCGGTGGGTTTGGGTGCCGCGGACGAAGAGAACGCAGTATATCCCACCGCCGCGACCGCACCACCCAGCACAACCGTCCCTGCGGCAATGGCTTCTGGGGTGAGTGTGCTCTGTGCTGATCCCATGGTTACGACGAGCGTTAATGCAGTTGTGGTGAAATGAGTGTAATGAATAAGTAGTGTGTATCCTCTTGGATAGTCGAGGCTCAGTCAGAGGGTGTGTCGTGTGCGGTGGGAGAGCGCTTCAGCCTGTGTCGACGTGGAATTCTACCCACTGGCACGTGGCGAAGGACGCGGTCACGCGGCTAGTCTCAGCTGCCAGCTATGTCCTTTTATTCGCGTGATGGCTCTCTACGATTCCTGCTGCTCTCAAATGCCCTCCGACCACCTTTCACTCATGACCTGGACCACACCACCTACAGCCGAAAACTTCTTGAGTTCGACTCTCGATTCCGGGGATCTCGCAGAACTCGAAGCAACTTGCCGTCTAGTCTCTGCCTTGGAGGAGCTCGGATGCCACTTTCTTCATCGCCGTTTCCCTTACATGACCTTGCTTAAACACATTGCGTTCCAGTACACCACCCAGACCCCTCAAGCTGTTTGCTGAGGCTTCTCACGGCGCGAAATCTCGACATCCCCTGCGTAGGATTGTGGTCGAGCGGAGAGGCATCTGGTCTCCGACTCCTTCCACGGATCTCAGCCCCTGCCATCCTGAGTAGGACTTGTCAATCCATCCATTGTGCGCCCATTCCGTCACGCTTGGACACGATTCCAGCAGTTGTCAAAACGCTGCCAGAATTACACTGTGTGTGATCTGGCCTGCTGGTCACTGTTACGATTTCACCATCTCTTGAGGAAATTATGACTATGATAACGTTGTTTCTGCTCCTCATGTATATATATTCAATTTGAAATGGCCTTCATGGTGTCTTCCGCCTCTCGACCCGACTACTGTGTATTTCATTACTGATGGAATCGAGAAGCGGACGGAGATGACTTGAAGCTCAAGTTACTGGAAAGCTACCTAGCCGTCTCTGGGTTGTGAGAAAAGATGGTTGTCGACATCGAAAACAGTATATTCAATTCGTCGATTCCGTTGACGCGTCAGTCGACGCGCGATGGGCCCAGGATCAGGGGGTGACATAAGCACACAATTGCTGGCTCAATCCTCCCTTTCCAGCACACGTTTTCGGCCTTCACCTTGTCGAGAAGTTTTCGCTTGCCCTGACTCCTTATGTCGCTCGAATTCTCGACGTTCTTGACCCAAATCAATGACGCACTGAACAACGAGAATGGACCCAATCTGGCCTACCTACTCCACCCGGGAAGTCCACATGGCAAGGACCTCGTGAAAATCTTCAGATCGCCCAGTGTGCGTATTTTACTTTCCTGGTGAGCAAAATTGAGCCGTTTGCGATGCCCAGGCCGCATCGCTTTCACATTACAAGGGGAGCATCGTCAGTCCCTGGGACGACATCGCCATTCAATATGTCCTGACCTGCTCGCACATCGCGCGAGACAGAAGAGTTGACGCGTTCAAGGAGCATTCCCAGCTCGTCTCGTGAGTGTCAACCTAACGTGGGCGATGGTTTCCCTCATCTCGCGGTCGTCAGCCACTTTTTCCGATTCTTCACAGAAAACCGCGGATGGACACTTCCGGCCTTGTTCTCGGTTCTTCGCGACGTCCGAGATATCGCTTACGAGGTATGCATGAAAACAAGCTTCCTCGTTGCGCCACGCTGGATCTCGTAGGCAGACTGGCATGCGAGAGTGCATAACCAGAACGGCGAATGTTTGGAAGAAGCCGCTCGAACGGTAGCAAAGGCGTTCTCGAACTGCATGGTGGACAGGTGTGTAGCATGGCTGCGCCTGTGGCTTTGCAGGTACACTTACAGTTAGGACAGGGTGTCGCCTCCCGAAGAATCCAGGAAATGGGGCGTTTACTATGTGGCTGGGCTCGCGATGAAATGTTACTTCAGGGTATGTCTTGCGTCGGATCGGCTGCTCACGCCGCTGACTTTCGGAAGATCAAACATATCTCGCTGACGAAAAATGTCATCAAAGCACTCAACAACACGCCCGACATCCCTCCGTTGCAGAGGTATCCACGGTCGCATCAAGTGACATATCGATACTATCTAGGCATGCTCGGCTTCTTAAATGAGGAATACGTGGAAGCAGAGAGAGAGTTGACCTTTGCATTCTACAATTGTGTCGTCGAGGCTCAGGAGAATCAGACGCGAGTAAACTTTTATCTGCCTATTGATCCTCGCCTGCTAAGCTTAGAACAGGCGAATCCTGGCATACCTCATTCCTCTTCGGATTCTTCGCGGGCACTTGCCATCGGACGTGCTCTTTCAAAGGTTCCCGATTCTTGCCGACATCTTTTCGCCATTCATATCAGCAATCCGCGCGTCAGACATCTCAGCATTTGATCGTGCAATTGAGCTACGAAAGACTCGTCTGATTGAGCTGAACTTGCTCCTTGCACTGGAAAGAGCGCGGGAGTTATGTGTCAGAGGGCTGTTTCGCAAAGCGTAGGTCTTCTCTCTTTCAACGCTCACAGCTAGCTAATGGCTAATCAGATGGATTATATCGGAAAAGACTACGCGGATGCCTATCGCACTGTTCCACTCGGCATTGGAGGTCTCCGGAATCACGGTGGGCGTTGAGGAAGCAGAGTGCTTGGTTGCAAACATGATCTACAAAGGGTACATGAGGGGGTACATCAGTCACGCGAAGCAAATGGTAGTTTTGGCTGCTGCCAACGCTTTCCCCTCTGTCGCAGAGCGTCTTTACCCCTACAATCCATTATGACTTGCAAGCCCTCATACCACGGGTTATCTGACCGTGACTTTGATGCTCTCCACGTCGTTGGCCCAGCTAGGATACTATTTTGCGCTTGCTTGGATGTTTCAGACAGACGCCGTGATTCTGAGGGTCCCCTCGTTGTCACACCCTCCTGGATGCTATCTCTCCAATCATTCAATACCCTGTGCTACATAGCCGCCAGTACCACTCAAACATGCGTTCGTCCTGTTCTCGAAATTTGAACGAACGGCCTCATCCATGCAGCGCATCTTGCTATCTGCAGCATCACGCAAACCGCGCTCACCTCTTCATTGACTGATCACACATACACCCCCAACAAGCAGCTTTCAACGACCGACTCCCGGAGACCGACGAACGAAACCAGGGAGATGGATCCCAGAGGCGCGAGGGCAGGGGAGTCGGATGGACAAGCGAGCGGAGCGCAGGGACAATGAGACTCAAACATGCGCTCGACGTGCGCCCCGAAATTGGACGTTCGGCCTCACCTCACGCAACACACCACACCTTTCGCGGCATCTTCCTCCGGGACTTGTGTCAGATATACACTTGTACGTGTTAGCTCCAACGTTGTCACGTCTCTGAGCTCCAACCGCTGTCGCTGTGGGCGGGGCGACAGAGATCCAGATCATTACCGGCACCCAGTTGATCGCCATCCTCGGCGGCGGCGCTGGTTATCGGTTATCGACGAATCCACATATCGTAGAGGTCGTTGAGCCGGGTGAGCGGACGTCCGCCTCTAGAGTCCTCTGGGATGGCGATGTTCGGTGTGGCTATAGGTGCGCGGGATTCATCATGCTCTCATCCATCTCATTCTCCTGGTGCCCTTCCCCACAGGCTACATCGACGGCGGGGTGGCCTGGGCGTTAGTCAAATCCAAGACCCCGCTCCAGATAACTTTCTGTTTACTCATTCTATCCACCCTCCTCACTGCCTTCCTCCTGCCGTACATACCACCCGGCGGCTTCCCCTTGCGCAGTGGCACAGCATCGAACCCTGTTTTTCCCGATTGCGATGTCGAAACGACCTCTTTCTTTTCGTTCCTGCGCCCACTGGGGATCTTCTGGCCTGCCAAGTATGCGGATGGAAGCGAGCGATTCTGGGGCGTGTCTCTCTTGGTCTTTGGTGATTTCTCTTCTGTGATGTCGATGGGATACGCGGCAAGTACTGTCCCATTCTCGATGTAGTGCCGCCTTTAACTTCTCACCAGCCTCTCATGCTGCAACTAACCGCGACCAACAAGTACGGCTTCAAGCTTGTCGACAAGGGCTTACTGCGCGCTGTTCTCTTCTGTTTTCCCAGGCCATACCGGTACTTTACTAAAGAAAAGTGCTCTAGTGACCGGCGAAGCTGTTCTTCAGAAAAGCTTGTAGTCTACAAGTAGCTGATCTACAGAAGACTACCGGGCCCTCATGCAGCTTCGGCTAGCGAAATCCGGCACCCGGTCCCGTTGCTCATTGCCTTGCCGCCTCCCGCTCCCTCGCATCAATTCTCGGGCCCCCGCCCCACGCATCAAATCCTGCCACCTCCCTTCCGCATCAAATCCCGCTTCCTGTCAATCCCTCTGCATCAATTCGGTTCGCCACTCACTTACATAATCATGCTCGGCATTGCTGCCCAGGGCCTCCTCCCGAATCGGTCACCTGCATCAGTGCATCATTCCCGTAGTTACGCATCATTCGCTTCCTATCCCGCCTTGCTGGCTTCGCTTCATTGATCCTCCACCCTAGGGTCTGTAGCTTCTTGAGAGATGTATTTATTCCTTATGGTAGCCTTTTGTGTGTGACAGATCTGCATATGAGATGACATTTCAAACATTTCTGTTCATTCAGCACAATGTTACATATTTCCGCCATAACAAGCTCTGCCTCAAAAAATAGTACGGTACTTCAAGAAAAATTACAAGTGTGATACCTCAAGCCACACGAAGTGCAAACTCTCACAAGAAACACACCGTCAGCTCAACTATGTCATTTATCACGTGTTCACATGCTTTGTTTTTTTTCTAGTAAGTACCTCCTAATGACAATCATTGCATCGAAACCAAGTGCCTCCGAAGCTATGTGATAATATCTATAACACTACCTCTGCCCATTGTGTTAGCCCGGAATTTGTTCTTTGAAAGTCGAAAACTCACCTTTTTACGCTTCGGATCAGCGGTAGGCTCAGCACCTCCAGCTCGTTTCCGACTTCTGCCGCTGTTGAGCAATTCGAGCTCCTCATTTCGCATGTACTGCTCAGCCTGGCGTTGAGCGACGGTCATCGGCTCTCCCCAAGTCACCGCCTTCTTGCAATGGCGGGTCGCAGGAACTTCAACGGCCGGATTGTTAGCAATGACCGTTGCGCGTTGCTTTGGCTTAGGCTGACTGGAACTACCTTGTGGTCTGTTGCACCCCCCACCTCCGGACCCATGATGATAGTCAGGTTGGAAATCCAGCGGGCACTCTTCATTGGGGTCCGGGATCGGGTTTACAGTACCAACGTCCCGCGAGGTTGCGTGTTTCGGTGCACCCCGGCCACGTCCGCTGCTGCGGCCACGACCGCCACCCCGCCCATGTTGTCTCCCACTGGCACCTTTGCCATCTCCGCCTCCCTGTCCACCAAATCCCGGTGTTTCGACAGAAAGATCTCCCGCATCAAGCACGGGAGCCTTTGGGGCCCTCGCAGCCTTTGGAGCGTTAACCTTTGGGCGTGACTCTGGGTAGTTTGTCGAAGAAAGGTCCGGAGCCACTGGAGCTGGTGTCGTGACCCCGGGAGCTATGGCGGTCGGTGTCATGATCATGGAAGGATCGGCGCTGATGCCAACAGCGCTGATGCCAAGAAGCGCAGATCCTGATGAGTTTTGTCTGGAAGGCAACATAAGCAATGCGCCGTGGTTTGAGGCGGGCGTCGGCCACGTGCTTGGGACAGTTGGTGACCACAACTTGTCAGTGGAAGCTGTGCCAGATGAGACTGACGGCTGCACAGATGGTAGCCCAGATGGCAGAAGAAGCGCTGGTGGAGTAGATGGTCGAGGAAAAGCGCCCACAGACTCTGCTGCCGGCGAGGCAGGACCTGATGATAGTGGTCGCAGAGGGTAGGGTGAGGAGGCACTGAAACCTGACTGCGTATCACATCCATCTGACACCCACCCCCCACTCAAGCTGGCACCAGCACTAACTCCCATACCAACGCCCTGACCCATCCACCCTGTGTTCTGTTCAACCTCGGTATCAGCATTCCCCATTTGATCATTGCCCAACACGCGATCAAAATCCCAGAGAAATGGATCCAGGCCGAAATCAGCATCCAAGCCCACATCTAAGGCGTTTTCAAGCGCTTGAGACCCATCTGTCTCCATAGACATTGACAGAGATGGCGGCGTTGCTTCTGCATGTGCGGGATCCTCACAAGTCTGAGACGCATTCAAAGATGTAGGATCTGCCACCGCTAGGCCATGTTGGCCACTTGCACCGTCAGCGCTGCCGTTTCCGTCGCTGTTGTTGGTTTTTTCTACATCCAGATGAGTGATCAGGTCGCCGTCCAAGGCATGAGTGAGCGGGCTGGAAGCAGTAAGCGCCCATGCGGCACGTGTTTCTGGATCTAATGGTGCCGTGATCAGTAACATCATTTAATGATGCGCATCACTCACCAAATCCTCGACGCAGCCATTCCCCTGTGCCCTTTAACACATCATCCCACATGACCAAGGACTTATTTAGCGGTTGCTGGCCTGTGCCTTGAATCCCTGTGGTGATTGTCTTTGTTGCAATCTTGCCCTGAAAAGACGGCATTGGTCCGCCTACAAGCACGATACCGCGCCAGCCAGTCATCCGCTCAACCCCATCAAGCACCTCGGCAAATATTTTATCGAGCTGGTCGATTCCCCTAATAATTTTGTCAGATTATTTCAAGACCATAGTATGACAATCATTACTCCTGGATCTGCTCCGGCTTCCTCTTCTCAACAGGCAGCTCGCATGGGGTATTCGCCTCGTTACCTCCCTGCTCTTCGTAAGCCTTTTCTACCTTGCTTTTCTGCTCCTCGCTCGCCTGTTCGTACAGGAATTGAACAACTTTACGACGGAGCCCCATATCCCGTGCACGCTTTTTGGACTATGGTGTGCAGCATCAGAACAGCATTACTATGCGTTATCAGTAGTGACTACGCACCAGAGCTGATTTGAGAATCCCCTGGCTGCTCAATTCATTCTCTGACTCGCCGCTAGCCTCTTCGGGTTCCAATTCAAAACCCAATAGCTCTCCCCGGGTGGCTGATTCCAACGCTGCCTTGACTTCACCAGCATTCTGCTGCTGAAACAGCTCTATACGCTGCCGACGCCTTCCCTTTGGTTTCAGAGATTTGAAGATGGTGGCAGCCAGTGTGCCTCGCAAGGCAACACGATCCAGCTTTGCGTTGCCTTGCTTCCGGTTATAGAACCATTTTTGATATCGCTGCCATCCTCAGGTGAGTATTTATTGTGGGAAGAGATTGCTCCACTCACCACCCTAGCCTTTGCTGCGTCTTCTCCAGCTGGTAGTGGGAACTTGTCGAGGAAGTCCCGCTCAGCTTTCGGGAACCATTGGGAGATTCGCTTGTGAACCTGAGCAGCCTCGAAGTCCCCGACCTGGGAATTGAGAAACTCCAACTCTTCTTTGGAGAATAGCGACTGTCTTCCCTGCGGCATCTGAATGCTAGTAAGAAAAGTCTCTAGTGTCTACAGCCGTCTGACGTGATTTCTGATTCCCACGCCAAGGTAAAATTGTTTACACTGGAAGAACCACAGGAACAAATTGATGTTCTACATCAGAATCTGACACCACACACGAGGACAGTTTTCAAGATCATGTGGAAGTGTACATGGAGTAATTCAGGTACATACTATCTAACGGCTATATTGTACCCGGTACTCTGGGCGTCTAGGGTACAGTATCAATCTTGGGAACCGTGGCAGCACTTCTTGCACCGGTGTGTCTGGGTGATCTGCAGCATACGCAGAATCTAGCCTCGTCAGTCTCGGAGGAGTGACCGGAGAGATTTTCTGGGGCGGAGTTGACGGAGCAGGAGTGCTCGCACGCAAGAGCATGCCAACCTCATCCTCGGAGGTGACCTCATCCTCTGAGTTGTCCCCATCTATGTCTGTGAGGCTTCGTCCGCCGACACTTTGTCCATCGGGCAGAGGCTCTACCTCCAAGCTGGGTGGCAACCTTCCAATGCTCGGAATCTCCCCAATAAGCAGAGCTGAGCCCAGCTTTTTCTCCTTCTTTGATGCTCGCTGATCACGTCGTCGTTGTAGAATGGCAGCAGCACTGCGTACTGTTTAGCTGGCATGCACAGGCTTATGGTATCTCACAACTTTTTTGCGTAATGGCGAGCAGAGATTTCTCGACGCCTTGCTTTTTGGGCCTCCTTCTTCTCGATGCTACATAGTAGATCAGCATTTTTATTTTAATCAACTTCTCACATACACAGACTCTGGAAAACCAACAGTGTGTGGCGTGAAAGCTTTTGGCATGGTCTGTTGGAGGGAAGACACGAGGTGTCACATCACAGGCACGCCAATTAGGTCTGACCGTCACATTTCAGTCAGACGGTCAGACCATCACACTTGGTCTGACCGGTCTCTGATCAATCAGACTTTACTTACATCTCATGCAGATTTATTCAAGCTAGACAGCCTTTACACACGATAATATAGATAAGAATGTTTCAATGGCAGTAGAAATTTATTTGCACAAGAGGTCAGCAAAGTACGCTATTTACTTTGCACCCAAGTCTGCCGGCCTTGTCTTCATTTTAGGAAACAGTCCGAGTCCCTCTTTAACCCTATTCTCCAAACCTGCCTTGTACTCTGCCGCCTCTGACTTGGAGAGGTGCTTCACTGCCCGACACCCAAGATCCACGTACTGGAAAATCGACGCGCCAGTCCATGCAACAATGGATCCGCGCATCCCTTTGGAGATCAGGGCTGAGTTGTAATGTGTGTAGAGAGCTGATGGAAAGAAGATGGGTGTGCCCGCTGCCACCTGGAACGTGTACCCCAGTTCGACAACGTGTAGTTTGCAGTCTAGCGCTGGATCGAAGTCACCAAAGGGAATAACAACGCAGAGGCCTGGTGCGAGGTTTTGCATGTCGATGTGCTTCACTGTAACAACTCCGGTCTCGCTGATGTTGATACAGAATGACGCAAATGGGGAAAAACAGGCGTCCAGCTCGGGGTGCATCTTTTTGATGTCAGCCATCGCATCGGCGTACCGTTTGTAGAGCTGGGGGAACTCAGCCTTAAAGATCCCTGATTTAAGTCAGATCCATTGCGAATGAATGTCAAGAGTGTTCGTACCTTCAACATATCTCATGAGTGGCTTGAGAACATCGGTCAAGCGATCATAGAGGTCCCGATTCTCCTCAATATCTTTTGAAAACCGGGGCAGCTGGGGGACAAATGGGTCAATGTCAAAGGGGCAATGTCACGGCAGGCAACTGGGCTCACCGCGGTTGATCCCCGGTGCAGCGAGAAGTAATACGTCTTGAAATTCCCTCGGCTTTGCGTATTGTTGAATGTTGGCTTCATCCGATCCCCTTGAACTAGACGGGCAGCTTCATGGCAGGCGTGAAGGACGTCAGCGCGCTGGCACCGGTTAGCGCAATGAACAGTCTTGCGCCCCTCGGCGTCGAAGACGGAAACGGCGGCACTATAGGGTGATGATAAACATTGCGCTGAGCAGGCCGCTGGTCGAACGCACCCATCACCCATTGGGATCTCGATCATCCCCTCCTCAGGCGGCTGCCCGCTGACCCGATTACCTGCGTATCCACGAGCTCCTTTTGCTCGCTGCCCCGTGCTCTGCCGGGCCTTGTACTCCCGCTTCTCTTTCTCGCGCCGCTCATGAAATCTCTGCTGGCGGAGCCGCTGCCGCTGCTGACGGCGAGTGGAGTGAGGGGGATCCCGGGCAGCAGTCGATCCCAAATGCGGAGCGTCAAGCGCGCCATCGCCAGCGGTGTCAGAGTCCGTGAAATCGTCCGAAGTGTTGGTGTGCGCATGCGGGGCATCACATGTGTGGGCGGCAGCTGGGTCCTCGTTGATGCTAATGGTGGCAGGAGAATGTGACAGAGAATCATAGTCGGGGGGGAGACCAGCGAGTCGAGCGGAGCGGCGGATTACAGGAGCGTAGCCTTCTTCAGTATGATCCCCATCCTCGGCGAAGGTGATGAGGGAGTGATTGCCATGCGCTTGCAGCCACATCGAGCTGTGAGAGGAAAACATTGTCATTTTGGGATGATGGCTCACCGGCATTGGCAGCCCCTTATATCCCATTTCCGCATGCTGGCTCGGCTCCGGTGTGTCGGGCCATAGAAGTCCGCATATACCAGTCAGCACAATGGCTGGATGGTAATGAGTGCAGAATGCGGGGCGATCTTATTGTCCATTGACGTTGACATGTGGCTGTGAATGTCATTGTCTGGCATGACAGCTCATATCCCGCTCTTTACTATGCCACGTCGTACTTCTAATATCATTGTCTATCGCAAGTCCGCGACCGTATATGTACCGCTCCTTATGCTACGCCGCGTCGTATTTCCGCCGCCCGTTCTTGTCTCTCCCCTCTGCTTCACCCGCGCCTCGTGCACATGCTGCCACTGTCTCTGTACCCTTGAGTGGCGACCAAGGCCCGGCCTGCGGGTTTTCGCCAGAGCGCACCCAAACCCTTCACCCACCGCCCAGTCTGCGCCCTCTGCGTCACCGCATTGCCACCGTGTTTTGCAAGCTCGCAATCGACGCTGCAGACGCGTGGGATCAGCCAGCGCTACAGCCACCATCTTTTTGTGAGTTCGCGATCGATGGTGGCTGCAGCGCGGTGATCGGACCGGCCGCCACCTTTTGAAATTGCCCGCTCCCGGATGTTTTGTGGGCTCGAGATCCGCAGGCCCCAGGCAACTTCCCGGGCCCACCAGCCACTAGCCTCTTCCTACGATGGAGCGTGGTGAAGGGCTCGGAAACCGGCACAGTCCCTACCCCCTGCGCATTCGAAAGAGGTCCGCCCGCGATCAGACCGAACACTCTCGCAAAGGTGGGGCTCTATTCCTGCACCCCGAGCTGCCCCTCACCCTGTTCCAGCGCGCCTTTTTGACCTCCTTGGTAACGCGCCGCAGATGCTGAGTCAGCTCGAGTGGCATGAGATCGGTGAGCAGGTGCGCCAGCCCCAATTCTCTTCTGACCCAGTTTTCAGTCGAGATCGTCGCCCAGGCCGTGGTGCCCACCCTCCCTGCCGCGGGTTGCTCTCCGCAGGGCGCCCCCAGCGCTTCCGTGAGCCCCGCCATCTATCCGTCCCCAGCCGCCAGATCGAGCACCCAAATCGCCGCGCCGTTCCCGCCCTCCACCCCCAACCTTCCCAGCGCCACGCCTGCTGTGGCCAGTGGGTTCCAGAGAGCGACGGCGAGGATGTCCGCGGGTGGGCGTTCCCCACGACGGCAGGAGCCCCCTGCCGATCCGTCTCCAGCTGCGAGACTGAGCGCCCGAAGCGCCGCACCAGTCCTGCCGTCTGCCCCCCACATTCCCAGCGCCCTGCCCGCTGTGACCGGTACCCCGCCTGTTGCGACCGGTAGACGCCAGCGAACAACGGCGAGGATGTCTACGGGCGGGCGTCCCCCACGACGACAGGAGCCCTCCGTCGCTCCCTCCCTAGCCGCGGCATCGAGTGCCCGAAGCGCCGCACCAGTCCTGCTCTCTGCCCCCCGAATTCCCAGCGCCCTGCCCGCTGCGACCGGTGCCCCGCCTGCTGCGACCGGTAGACGCCAGCGAACGACGGCAAGGATGTCTACGGGCGGGCGTCCCCCACGACGACAGGAGCCCCCCGTCGATCCCTCGCTAGCCGCGCCATCGAGTGCCCGAAGCGCCGCACCAGTCCTGCTCTCTGCCCCCCGAATTCCCAGCGCCCTGCCCGCTGCGACCGGTACCCCGCCTGTTGCGACCGGTAGACGCCAGCGAACAACGGCGAGGATGTCTACGGGCGGGCGTCCCCCACGACGACAGGAGCCCCCCGTCGATCCCTCGCTAGCCGCGCCATCGAGTGCCCGAACTGCTGCCTCATCCTCTGCCCCCAATCCTCCCGGTACCCCGTCTGCTGAGACCGGCGCACTTCCTCAGCGCCAAAGAGCAACGGTGAGGCCTGCCGGTCCTTTGCTCCGGTGTAGGAACCTTCGCTCTACAACACGGTTTCAAAGTGAATAAAGAAAATAACTCCTAGGGTAGTTTTTTTTAGTTTCAAAAATAGATTTTTCTTTCAACCCTGGCGCGTAGATTCTGTAATTGCCCACAGGAAAGACCTCTGCGCTGGAGCCCGAATCTCAAACATGTTGGTGATCTGCAGGCTCATCTTCCATCGCGCGTGAATTCAGTCCAGAGATCAAGCACCCGTGATCGCGATCCATTGAGCACATGATCGTGCCTATTTACCGCGATGCGTGTGCTTGCTCTGGCCACTCATGTCCCGTCGTACCAAGGCCACCTTCTCCACACACATCTTCGACTCTGACGATGAGCTTGACACTGTGTCCCTTGCCCGATCCTACCAGCCAGCGGCTTCGATGATGCGACACGACACGACCATTTCTGGGTCCAGCCTCTTCCGCAAGACCACGTTCCTCCAGAGCTCAGCTTCACCACGGAAACGACAGCGAGCAGCGGACTGGGGGGACAGCCTGTTGCATGATGATCCACCGCTCATACCTCTGCCTGAGCTTTTCAACGAGGGGGGGAACGACCTGGGGGCAGAATTTGAATTCGATGAGGGGCATCCTCCGGACAAGCACCCTCGACGTCCACGAGATACGGTGCGAGCAACAATTGATCTGCTCACCTTGCATGAGCTCATCTCGGAAGCAGGATCGCCCCCTGAGGATTTGGCTTGAGGAGGAGATGCCCACGTTTGTGGATGAGTTGTTGCGGTCAGCTGGGCGAGGGGACAACACAGGCAGCGGTTTCACACCGTGCAATGCCTGCAAGAAGTCTGATGGGACACACCGCTGTGAGCAATGCTTTATGGGCTCATTGTTCTGCTCGTCGTGCCTGGTGTCTCGCCATCGGGAGCATCCGCTACACCACATTGAGGTACAATGATCATGCCTGCAGATTTCAGCCACAGGGTACTGACGCAGAGAGCACAGGCTTGGGATGGCATGTGCTTCGAACGAACCTCGCTGGCTAGCCTTGGGTTACGGATCCAGATCGGTCACGCCGGCGCTGACAGATGTGCTGCGCCTCGCCTAGATAAGACCACCACCTTCTGCATTGTGCATTCAAACGGCATTCACGAAGTCAATCTAGACTACTGTGAATGTGCCGGTGCACCCATGCACTCTGTCCAGCTTCTCCGCTCCAAGCTATACCCCGCAACAACACTTCGTCCCGCTAGCGCTGCAACGTTTGAAGTCCTGCGAGGCTACCAACTGTTATCATTTGAAACCAAGTGCTCTGCCTACGAATTCTACAATGCACTGGCCCGGATGACGAACAACAGCGGCAGTTTTCAGCCCCGGGTATGTGATCCAGATGTCATGACCCTCAATCAATAATCTGACTCAAAACCTAGGACCGCTACAGTCAGTTCCTTCGAATGACACGGGAATGGGCCCATATTCAAATGCTCAAGCGTTTCGGGCGGGCTCATGAAACAGCCGGCTGCCGAAACATTCCAGCTGGCTCGTGCGCGGTCCTGTGTCCAGCCTGTCCACAGCCAGGGAAGAACCTTCCACAAGATGGGTCATGGCGAGCTGCTCCTCCCCATCTCCGTTTCCTTTATGCGCTGTTCTTGGCAATAGACGCGAACTTCCGCATGAAGCGCAAGGCAGTGTCTTCGGAAGAGGTAGATCCCGATCTGAATCAAGGGTGCGCCTTCTACAGCCAAATTGATGAGTATATGGAGCACGTCCGAGCCCACTGGGATACAGAGCAGGAGGTGCGTTGCTCACATAGCCATTCTGCACTGCTGATGTCTCTCAGTAGAAGAGTAGATGTGTGTCCCATGATGCTGTCAATGAGCCAAATCGTGAGGCTCGAGGAACAGCATCCTCTGGAATAGGGACGGTAGACTGCGCTCGCCATAACATGAAGCGTCCCAATGGTGTTGTAGACCTGCAGAAAGGAGAGAGGTGAGCGTTACTTTAGAGCACTTGTGCGTTACTCATTCTTGCAAAAGATACATCAACATGGACTATGCCCTGTGGAAGAGCTTGGATGGCTATGATGAGCTAGTCCAGCTTGTGGTTTCGTACGATATTGTGTGTCAGTGGAGCCTCAACATCTGGGAGCGATTGAAACGATACAAGCCATGCCTGCAGGAGCGAGCCAGAAGCGGGGAGCGGTTCTTTCTGTGGCTGATCCCCAAGTTCCATCTGCCGGCCCATATCGAAGCGTGCAACGTCCTGTATTCGTTTGACCTGACACCGTTTGTTGGCCGAACAGACGGTGAAGCACCGGAGCGTGGCTGGTCAAACACAAATCCGTTGGCAGCAAGCACTCGTGAGATGGGTCCAGGATCGCGCCGAGATCACATTGACAACCATTTCAACGACTGGAACCACAAGAAGGTGCTGGGGATGGGGCAGCTGCTCCTGAAACACATGCAGGACGCTATACCCCAGATGGTGAATCGGAGCATTGAGCTGCGCGACATAGAGGAGTCGCTTCCGCAGGACACACTGGCATCCTGGGTCACACAGATGGAGAGATGGGAGAAGGATGCATCAGAGCCAAATCCGTTTGCTGTTGGAGAGAAGCATGCGTCGCTTCAGGCAGTTCGGGGTCGAATTGCAGCGGAGACGCAGGCGATACTCGCTGGCGATGACAGTGATGAGGTCCGTGGGGATCTACACGTGGCAGAGATGATTGCAATGGGAATGCAGCTAGGAGAGCAGCAGAGAGCACTTGCCAGCGACGTAAAGGCCCTCGGGATCCACGCCACCGCACGACAGAAGACATTGATCCAGGAACGGGGCAATAAGCTTTGGCGGAAGATAGCCAGCTGGTTTGCGACACAGGCTACTTTTATCCCTGAGGTCACAGCTATTCGGGAGGCAGACGCCGACAAGCTTGCTGCTGCTAGCAGAATGGATCCTCTCCCACCAGCTCCGGCATTCACTGCCAGGCTGTGGCTACCTTCAGAATTAGTGGGTGAATCTCGGTGCACGGTCAAGCATGCATTTGCACGCTACGAATTTGACATGCGAGAGGCAAGAGCCCATGAGTGCCTGGACGAACTACGTCGCCTGTTGCTTGTGCAGAAGCATCACTACCAAGCGAAGGATCGCCACGCATTTGGCGTCGCAGCCAACACCCGTGCAAAGGAGTCCCTTGACAACATCCAGCGGCGCATCAAACGGACTGCAGAAGAATACCGGGCAGCAAGAGCGGCTCTGGTTGCATTGGCTCGTCTGTTGGGTGATGCTGCATGGTCAAGGATCCTGCGGCCGCTGGAAGAGAAGGACATCCGTGGAATGCCGCAGGCGCTTTTCGCTGATCCCCAGCGCAAGCAGAAGAAGAAACGTACGCTGCAGACCGTGGAGGAGAGGGAGGCAGAGACTTTAGCCAAAGAGATGTCATGGATCTGGCGAACCAGCCTGAAGCCAGTGGCTGAGGTAGCATCCTCCTCGCAGAACCCTGAGACCGACAGCACAAGTTTGTCCCCTGCTGTAGCCGAACATGAAGCACAGCTGCTCACTGCCGGGCTTCGTGTTGAATGGGCTAAGGCTAGGGCTCGGGCAGGAAGGTGGCGGGAGGAGGTTGATCTTCTTGAAGAAGAGATGCGACGTGTGCTAGCGTTTGAGGAGTGGAGGGCAGCATGGTGGAGAGAACGGAGGCTTGGCCGTGAGGCCGAGGAGCTGGGCCCAGCAATGGACGAAGCATTGCACGCGTATGCTGAAAAGCAGGCACGCTTCCATGACCGGCGAGCAGGGAAACTGCGTCACATGTGGAAATCAGTGCCCGGCTCAATCGAGACAGGCCGAAAAGGTGTGGTGAGCACGGTTGAGGCCTCAGATGCTGAAGAGGATCTGGCCATAGACTTGGACGTAGATAGATGACCGCCTTTAGATTGTAGTATACGCATACATTTCAGATTATTTCTACATTTGAATTATTTGGTGCTCATCGCGGAAGACAACGCCAAGAGATTCTGATGAGCGCTGATGACAGCGACGACAGATGTTGTTGCAATGACGGATGATGAATTGACGGTGTGATCGCTGTGATCAAAGTGATGGAATGACACGGTGAATGATGAGACATCATGCATCAAAATGTGTGCCTGAGCTCACCGTGGACGACAATGAGGAATGACGTGGCACAGCGATCAAGGCGTGTGATCAATACTGACCAAACACACCCAACATATGAGCGGTGGGGAAGGGGGTCTGGCTGCCACGGGCAGGGAATACGGCTAGGGCTTGCAGGCCTGCTCTAAGCTAGAGGGTTTACTGAAGAATGGGCATGCTTCTAATGACCGGTTGTTCTATAGAATAGGGCCACTATCTAGTGCATTTCGCACCGAGCTTGAGAGTTTGCGATCGCCCTCAGCTCTCTCATCCTATGTCTCTTATCCTGGTAGATGGGACCATTCGCAAGTGGGGGGGGGGGCACCTAACCTAGGGTTACCCTAACCTCATTGACTCATCTAAGATAAGATTAGATAAGCACCTAACCTTCTATTAGGGTTACCCTAACCTCATACTCATCTAAACTAAAGATAAGATGGGATTAGAATAATCAACCACAGACATCAATATCAAAATGTCCTAAAAAGGAAGTCACATGTTAATGGAAGCTGTGCTGCAATAATGATCCAATCACACACAGCCGCATTAACATTAGATAAGTCTTCAATTTGATTATCAGCGACTACAATTAGATATGGGTCTGACAGATAAGATAAGATTTACATCATCACTATCATCAAATTTACATCATCACTATCATCAAAAATTGATGGGAGATCAAAAGTAGTGCCATTCAACATGGCAGTGAAGCATGTGACTGATGCTGACAAAGAAAATGATGGGAAATCAAAGTTGTAGCCCTCGCAAAACTGAACAAGTTTCACCTATACACATGGGTGATCAGATCACTCGTTAGAGTGCAGCATCGAAAACAGTCCACATGATGATATCACTTGGAAAATGATGTAGAACAAATGGGTAAACCTAGGCCTGAAAAAAAAAAAGGGCCATATTTAAAACTACTAACACTGGCTCGTTATAGCTGGATGTGTTGAGCTACATTCTATTTTAAGCAATAAGGTACCTCTCGAGGTAGGATTTTGGGGTGTCCAAGGTGGAACGTCATGTGAAGAAAATCAGATCAGACCAGACCAGTGGTCTTAAATAATATAACTCAACTAAGGTGTGCCGCATTAGTAACCAGCACCCCTTAGATAGTCACGTGATGCTCAAATCCACGGTCCAAAAAATGTAGCTCTCTTTTTTAGTATAAATATGGACTTTTATACAACCAATGTGATCCAAAATTGGCGTCCGAAGGATAATTGAGCTTTTGTACGGCTACTATGACACTATAGAAGGGCTTCACGAGGCCGACAGCACTGCCACTTCCTAATTAGGAAGTCACGTGAATGCTCAAATCTTACGACCCAAAATTAAAAAATGCTCAGTTCAGTGATAAATCACTTTCTACAATAAAAGAAAACTTTTGATGCAAAATTCTTGAGCCTCACATCACGCTCTCTAGGAGGCATTACAAAGAATTCTGCTCACATAGCAGGTGCCCTAAAGGCCTCTAGAAACACCCTATGTGAGTGCTTTAGCTGTATTCTCTCCGTGGCCGCCGTCATCTTCTATCACGGTGTGACGCTTAGTCATGGGTGCTGGTTCCTAATGCGGCACACCTTATTATTTAGTAACGTAAGGGGTTACAAATTAAGGGAGATCTGTCTACAGGGCAGGGCAAAACATACAGGCCCTGGCTATATAGCCAGCCAAGCCACATGAAAGAAAAGAGTTTGAGAAAGGAAACGTGAGAGGACAAGCTCCCCCCTCATATAGGCATCTCTGCCCCACTCCCCTCCACGCATTCAAAGGATCTTGTTGAAGGTTGTTGTTCAAATTGACATGTCTAACCTCAATGTCTCCTTTCTTGATGCGTTCACGTATGTAGTGTAGTGTTTGCAAATGTCAACATGCTTGACTCAAGCACATGGCCCCGTGCATCTCTTGCCATCACCTCCGCTCCTATATTGTCGCCTATATTGTCACCATGGATGAGTACCAGTTGCTGTAACCACATTCTTGCTTAGATACATGAGAAAGAGCCACATATTCTGCTTCTATCATTGATGTCGCAACAGGTTGACTGCTTCTTCAACGACCATGCCTCACCAGCTGCTTTCGCAGCTACTGGCTTCAGCTGTGGAGGATTCCTCCTGGGTACGACTCGAGAAGCCACGGGTTTTCAGGCCAAACGTCTTGGTTAATGCAGGAGTTGACACTGGCACAACGGGTTCAGAAGAGGCAGTCGTGACATCTGGTGGCACACTTTGGTCAGTATTGGCATTTGCAGAGTCAATCGGAACGTGCAGATGGTCAACAGCTTCCAATCCATCTTTGATCTTGACACCTCCCCCTGCTGTTGATTTCCGTGACCAGTGCCCAGCGCCTTTGTCGAATATCACATTTCTGCGTTGAAGAAACGACCCTGCTCCCAACCAGCACTACCTTGACCGTCTGTGGGCTGAGTTTGGCCGCTGCCAGGACAATCTTTGCATATGTAGCCAAGCCAAAGATGCAGAGATAGGAGATATCAGGTTTGGTTCTGTGGAACCTTTCCCAGGGAGTGATGCCATCATTCTGCTACTTTGGGTGGAACCATTGCACATATATTGCCACTTCAACAACCTTTGGCCACATGGACTTGGGTAGGCCTGAGTTGGCCAGGAGACAGCAGGCCTGGGAGATGGTGGTGCATATGCCTTGCTTGCCCACTCTGTTTTGCGCTGATGAATGCGGAGTTGTTGCCTTGAGTATTATGCCTTCATGAGCAAGGTACGTACTCCATAGTGCGTTGTGCCACTCGCCACCACCGTCCACACAAACATGCTTAACTGGCTTTGCAGTTTGCATCTGAATCTGCGACTTAACCTGCTTGAACGCTTTGAGTGTGCCTGCTGCTTCCTTGGTCTTGAGCGGGAACATCTATACTGCGGCACTCGCACCATCCACGGCATGGAAAACCCATCTTGCCCCACTAATCCCTGTTGTCTGCGCTAGCCCCCACAAGTCAATGTACAGTCAGTTGCCAACTTCTTTTTCTGGCTTGTGTTCACCATTGAAAGGTCAGCGTGTTTGCTTCCCAGAGATGCAATCCTTACATAGTCCATGGTCTTTGCCATCAACCACTTCCATCCCATCAACAGCCTCTCCCCTCATCAGAGCTTTCAGCCCCGGTTTGCCGATGTAAACAAGACGCCAATGCCATGTCCCTCTGCTTGCTGGGCTGGGCTGCCACGCAATCTCGCAGCCAGAGCAGTCACATTGGCTTGATCAAAACCCAGATGATACATCCCATTGATATGTTCTGCCCACATGAATGGAGTACTGTTTGGATTGGAGAAGATTGCTAGCCCTTTGCTATGGTGACTGTTATGCCCTTTTTGTCCGGCTTAGAGATGGATACAAGGTTGATGCCAAACTCGGGGGTGTGGAGAGCGTGAAGCAAGATTGTTTTCTTTTGGCCATTGAACAGGTACGTCTTTGTCACAATGCCGGTCAATAATCCAAAACTTTGTCCCTCCCACTGCGTGTGCTCAACAGCCGTATAATCGGTGAAGTCCTCTCGACTCCAGAAGCAGTGGTCTATTGCTCCGGTGTCCGCAATCACAAGATACTATTTCTTAGCTGTGACCGCTGCGTTGACAGGGACCGGTATTGCTGCAACATGAGGACTGGTATTGCTGCAACACGCAGGCACAAGAGTGTTGCATACCAGTCACGAGCGTCAAACATGGCACTGTTTTGAATCCACGCTGATGGGAACATTACATCTGTGCCAAGGAGGTTGTCCATAACACAGTGCTCTGTCTTGCTGGTCTCGAAGACAATAAAACAGTTGGGGTGGATCTTGTTCTCGTCTGGGTAAGGCTGTCCTTTCTGTAGCATCCTTGCCACCATCATCTCAGGAGTTGTGAACTTGCTTATGTTTCCTGTGCCTTCTATGTTGGTGTCTTTGGATGACGGATCAGAGCGCAGATCCCCCACAGAGCTGTGCTAATCTGTGTTCAGAGAAGTAGGTACAGGCACGCAGATTTTTGCCTCATTTGCTTCGCTCCACTCCATTAACGCTCCAGGTAATACCAAGACCTCCTCGCCATGGAAGTCGACATGTTGTATCCCCGCTCAATCGTAAATGTTTACAGTTGCTTCTGGGACTGTCCACACGGCAGAGCATATGTGTCAGCTGCATTTGCTGAAGTTGCAGGTCCGTTCCACTTGCCTTTCCACCAGGCTGGCCATTGACCTTCCTTTCCTCCCCCTGGCCAGAAGCAATCACTTGCAGTGTGACTACACTTTCCTTGTGCACCGCCGCACTGGGGATTAGTGCATACCAGGTTGTGTTGGGCAGCGTGACAAGCTTCGCAATTGTTGATGGTGGAGTTCACAGTCAGGGCTTGGGGAATGTTCAAGGCAAGTAATCGGTTCCCGAGTCGTGCAGCATGCCTGGTAACTGTTGGGGAAAATGGGTCGAAGGGTCGATTAGATAATTGTAGTGTAGGTTTGCAATAGCAATGAGAATTGAACTTGAATTGCTTTAGGGCAAACTGATGCCCGTACACTACATACAAGCTTAGTTATATAGTAGTAATACTAGTTAGAATATTCTTCTATTTACCGGTATATGACTAAAGACAATTATCTAATGATCTGGAACGTTCCGGGACAGCCGAGCTGCATCCCGGGAATACTACTGAAATTCAACAGTAACAAAACTGATTACTTTCATGGATTTCGACATTCCATAGAGAAGCGGGACCACGGTGTCCCACTCTTCTCCCAGAGATCTGATGAAAGTCGACACA